TAGCAATGATAAATATGTTAAAGAAATTGAAGAAAAGATGGACAGAATGGATAAAAGGTGAAAAATGTCAACAAAGAAATGAAATTTCTAAAAAGAACTAATTGGACATTCTTGATATGAAAAGACACAATATCAGAATTGAAGTTTTCATTGGATGGACTTAACAACAGACTAGACACGTAGAAGAAATCAAGAGTGAACCTGAAGACAGGTTAATAGAAATTATTTAAACTGAAGCAAAAAGAAAAACATGACAGTGGTAGGCAAAGCAGACTGTGGAAGACATTTGAGACAATATCAAATGGTCTAACAGTTGTGTTATTGGAGTTCCAGAAGAAGAGAGAGAGAGAACAGGACAGAAGAAATATTTGATGAGAGATGGAGAAGATTGGTGAATTACATTGACTCATAGATTCAAAAAGCTCAGTAAACCTCAAACAGGATAAAAACAAAGAAAGCCACAATCTAGACATTTCATAATGAAACTGCTAAAAGCAGAAATAAAGAGAAAAATCTATTAACAGTGGCTAGTGAAAAAAGGACATGTTTAGAAGAATGTCAGTAAGAATTATAATTTACTTCTTATCAGAATCAAGAGCCCAGAAGACAATAGAATGACATATTGAAAAACATTAAAAACTGCCGTCTTAGAGATCTATGCCCAGTAAACATTCATCAAAACTGAAAATGAATTAAAGACGTATTCAGAAAGAAATCTAAGGAAATGTGTTGCCAGCAGGTCCACAGCACAAGAAATGCAAAGGAAAAAGAAGAAATGCCAGAGGAAGTTGTCAAAGCTGATTGCAAATGAGCTGTTATGGATACAAGGATGTGGAGGAAGGAAGAGCACCAAAAAGGATAAATAAAAAAGACTACAGCTGACGTGGAATAAAGTGGGGATTAGGGATTCCAAAACCCTTGCACAGTTGAAAAATCCACGTAAAACTTTTGCCCCAAAAACTTAAATCTTAACTATTTATAGCCTATTGTTGATCAGAAGCCTTACCAATAATATCATTAGTTAGCATATTTTGTTTCTTATATATGCCGTGTTCTTGTAATAAAGTAAGCTAGAGAAAAGAAAATGTTATTAAAATCATAAGTAAAATACATTTACAGTACTGTGCTTTATTTAAAAAGTCTGCATGAAAGTGAACCCACACGCTTTAAACCCACGTTGCTCAAGGGCTAACTGTTCTTAATTTTAAACAAGATTATTTACTTTTTAAAGGCAATAACAATAATAACTATTGTGGGATGTAAATGTGAAATGGCAACATATATGACAGTAGTACTATAAAGGGTAAAGGGAGAATTATGCTCATCTAAGTTTTTTACACTATTTTGAAGCTGTGAAATACTAATTCCAGATAGAGTAGTAAGATATATTTGCAGTAATCATTAAGATGTAATACAAGTTATTTCTAAAGAGATAATGGAGGGGAAAAAATGGTATAATAAAATCCTTTTTATTAATTTTGTTAATGGCACTTTGAACTTGCAGTAATTACCATGCATTTAAAATCTAATTTCAAACATAATGGTGTTTTCCAAACCAAAGTTGCTGTGTAATATAATTGCATTCTGTATGTCATGTAATGTTTTCCTGGCATTATTCTGGAATAAAAAAAGCAAAAACAGCTGATGACGCGTAAGCTCTATTTATCCTAATATGGTGAGGTATGAAACTGCAGCTTAAGACTGAGTCAACGTGTCGGATGAGCATGAGGATCACAAGCATGTAGTACTTTAAAGGCAGGCAGGTCATGGTCCCTACTCCACCCTGGGATGAAGGGGGGAAATATTTGGACCTCCAACTAAGAAAGTGGGAAGTTTTCCAAATGTGCTTGTCCCAGAAATGCTGTCTGACTTCTTTGCCAAAAAAAATAGCCGGTCATTGCAGTGAAAGAATTCTTTGGGTGGATTGTCTCCAATGAAACCAGCATGTTAGTCAGATGCCTATGATCTTGATTTTACATCTGATCCCAGTGCCCCCAGCAGAATTTTGTGATGATCTCTTCTTTTAGATCCCACCAGTATTCTCTTTGCATGATTAAGAAACCATGGTAGGTAACTAAAATGATCATTATTAGCCCTAAACATAACTGCTGCTCATCTTCTAAGATTCACTTACCATTTCCCAAATTTCTCACTTCTTCAAACATTTTCACTGCCTTATTATTTTTAAAAACTTCATCCATGTCTAAGACTGTACATTTTTTATATAAGTCAGGCATATTCATTTTTTGAAGAAGTAAACCTAAAAATATCCAGAACTAGAGAACATTTTGGACATCTATCTACTTTTCCTGACTCTGGTAGGTGGACAGCGGTAGGCTGTGTGAGCAGTGGTAACAGGATAGTCTTACAAGAAATAGGTGTTTATATACTAGAATTCTATGAATTTGTTAGTGGTTTTCAGTATTGATCTTTTAAAAGGAAAAGGCTTAAATGCCTAAAGTAATGAAGGGAGCAATAACTGTCTAAATACCTGTGTCAATTTCCTACATATTTCAACCACTAGAATGTGTCTGCCTTGTCGAAACACTTGGGTGAAAAACTCTTATCACCCAGTTATCAAACAGAGATGCCAAACATTCTTATCACACAGCACAGCATAAAAAAATAGAAGTGGACATTTCATATTTTACTGAAATGCTTTGAGTTTTAAAAATAAATTGGCTAACTCACTGCTAGTTAATGTTCAAAAGTAGAACTACTCACAGTTTTCTAGTCTCTGGATCAGTGAAAAAATTCCAGAAAGTTCTACTAAAGGTGATTTAGAAATCTAGAATTCCTAGAGGTGTAGACAATATGAGCACAGAAAACTTCTTACTCTCCTCTTTGGTACTTTTTTGCATATTGGGTTCTTTACATATGCTGTACAGGACACGGCTAAACTTGATAGCAGTCCACTGCTGCTGTGCATATCAAGCTTGTGTAATTGTCCTAATGAAGCCATAATAGCACAGTTGAACATGGCTTTGCCATTGCTCTGCTCTGGTTACCTCTTTCCATCCAGGACTCCTTGTTTTGGGTGCAATAGCTCAAACCTTACTTTGGTTAGGAGGTAGTTTCAGTCTTTTGGTTCAATTCCACTTGAACCTAAGGAGAAACAGGCTGGAAGATTTCTTTGAAAGGAGTTGCATACTCCAAATTAGAAAATTATATATAAGAACAAGAGCAGGAGACTGTATTGCATAAAGTAACCTAGTTAATCTTCATGGTTGGGGTCCCAGGTCTTTCAGTTAATCAGACATTCTGTTCCTAAGAAATGTAGTGTTTGTCAGTCATATATCATGGAAGTCAAATATTTTTTGAAGTCTTCCCAGCTTTACTGAGATGTAATTGACATGCAGCTTTGGGTAAATTTAAGGTATGCCTTAAATTGTGATGTGATGATTTGATACACGTATGTATTGTGAAATGATTCCCACAATAAGGTTAGGATTGTGGGATAAATAAATAAAATATTTTATTTTAATTTTATGTAAATCTCTAAAATCTCTCAGAATTCCAGCATTTTGGTATCTGTCTCCCATACCCATACCGTGTCTCTTCTAAGCTAACATTTGTCCAATGTTTTTGTGTTCTAAATGCTTTACATGTGCAAATTCACTTAGTCCTTGCAGCGGCCTCAGAGGAAAGTGCTCCATGAAGCTATCCCGTGCCAGTTTCGCTCAGCTGTTTATGTTCTAGACGGGCAGTGGTCTGACTGGGTGGTGAGAGAGGAGCCTACACTCCCTCTCAGCAGTTGGGCCTGACCCTTAGCGCTGATCTAGTTCTCCTTGTGCTGAGTTTCCATGCTCCAGGTCAGTGCCCCACTTCCCCATCAAATGTAGGGGTTTTCCATTTGATACAGACTTTCCTTTCACTATCTCAACTCAAAAGCCAAGTTTAAAAAATTTTATTCTTTGATTTTTTTTTTTGTTCAATTTTTTAAAAAACTCTGGTAAAATACACATAAGATAAAATTTACCATCCTAACCATTTTGAAGCTTACAGCTCAGTGGTATCAACACATCCACATTGCGGTGCAGTGTCTCCACCATGTGTCTCCTCAACTCTTCATCTTGTAAAACTGAAATTCAGGACCCATTAAGCAATCATTCCCCATGCGTTCCTCCTTCAGCCCCTGCGATCACCATTCTACCTCCTGTCCCTGCACATTTGGCTACTCTGGGTCTTTTATATAATTGGAATCATACAGAATTTGCCCTTCTGTGACTGGCTTATTTCACTTAGCATGATGTCCTCAAGGTTCATCCATGCTGTAGCTGATGTCAGAATTTCCTTCCTTTTTAAGGCTGATAATGTTTCATATCACATTTTTGCCTACCCATTCATCTATCAGTGGACACTTAAGTTTCTTCTACCTTGTGGATATTGTGAATAAGAGCTGTGAACATGGGTGTAAGGCTATCTTTTTGAGACCCTGCTTTCAGTTCTTTGGGGTATATATCTACAAGTGGGATTGCTGAATCATATGATAATTCTATGTTTAATTTTTTGAGGAGCCTCCATACTGTTTTCCACAGAGGCTATACCATCTTACATTCCCACCAATGGTGAACAAGGGTTCCAATTTCTCCACAACCTTGCCAGCACTTGTTTTCTCTATTTTTTTTTGTTTTTTGCTAGTAGCTGTTCTAATGGGTATGAGCAGACAACTTTTTACACTCTTCTCTGTCATCATCTTATCTATTTTACAGAGGCAAACTTTTACTATCTATGTTTTGACTAATACAAATAACTTCCTACTGTATGAATGTGTAAAAATTATAAGAAAGTATTTTCATAGCAATTCTTACATGGCCATAGAGTCATTATAAATTATAGAGAATAAACAAGAAGGGTGACCATCAAATAGAAATTATTCCTCAACCCCTCTTTATCACACTAACACTATTTTTCCATTGATTTTTAAGCTAAATTTAATGGGATGACTTGAAGCATAAAAGACACTGATTTTCACCAACAGAAAATTATCATTTCTTTAGAAAATCCATTCCTCGCTGCCGAAGAATGAACAGGATGCTCTCCAGTGAATCCTTCCATTCTTCTGCATTCAGCCGCTCTAACTCACAAGCCTCCGTAGACAGCGCCTCCATGGAGGACTTCTGGCGGGAAATAGAAAGCATTAAAGAGAGCCACGCGGGGCGACAGGAAGGACAGGAAGAGCAGGAAGAGCAGACGCCCGCCGAGGTCAAGCCTGTGGAAGGTAGGGTGCTAGATTTGTTGTCCTCTGTGCTGACTATATGCTCTTTTGTTCTATTGGCAGGTAGAAATCATCCCACTAGTAGTTTAACAAGTGAGTCGATACAATTTGACATGTCAGCTGCCTGCTCCCGCTCACTGGTGTGTACCAGATTTGGGAAGGGTGGCTTCTGTGTAAGGTGACATGACCTGAATGAGGGCTGTCAACAAAACTCAAATTGATCCCTTAGTGTCGTGACTCAGGTATGCTGTACTTCCTGTTGATTTGCTTCCTTATCATCCAGCAGATGATTATTCTGATTCTGATGGCTTTGCCATTTGTATACTTGGCTATTAATCACTGCCCCACCCCCAAAAAAAAGAGACAGAAAATAATTGCCAGTATAGTTTTGGGGGAATATATTTGACTTTGAATTACTTACTAGTTTTAATGTATTTAGGGAATGGATTATCTTACATTTCACAAAATAAAAGCCATGCCGAATATATCAAAATAGACTAGTTTTCAGTGAAACTAAACAGGAGGATAATTGTCCTTAATTTTTAAAAAGAGCAAAATTACCTGGGATTAAAAGCATAGGTCATCTCCTGCAGGTGCTGCTATCAACAAGTACATCCAGGAAAGACTGAGGTAGTTTAGTAAATAGCTACCGAAAAATGTTTCCATTAGCCAGTGATGGACCTCAAGAACACTATTCAGACAAATGGAAACTTTAAAAGCCTTTTCCTTCTTCATTCCCTTTCCTACAAGTCTGTCCTTCTTAGGTCTGAAAAATAATAGGTTAGACATACCACAATTAGTGTATTTCACATACTATTAGAAATAAAAGGCCCTTTCACACATTTAATGGAATCCATTCAGGGTACCCATCCTCCAAGTATATTCTTAGACCTTCTGCTTATATCTGTCCATTGTGCCTTTTCAGATCCAGAAGACAGAAAGCCACACAAAGGAAAATACTCCTTATTCTCCACCCTTTTTCTCACCACCTAGTGAGCTATCTATATTAAAAATCATGAGTTCTACTGATAACCTCCAATTCTGATCTGACACCACACGGTTAAATGTTGTCTTCCCTTTTTATGTCATGTAACTCCCTTCTACAACAAGGAGAAAGCTGACTCTGATTTTCCTCCCTGTATAGCTTTTCATTTGCTCAGACCTAGAGTACACAGAAAATACGTTCAAGTTTGCTAACCTAAACTTCTATGAAAAGCATACCTACTAACTTGAGTTTAATATTTATTTACAGATCTTTTTTCCCTTGGTGTATATGCACAGATCTAACTTCTATTCAGTCAGGTTTGACAAATGCTAACTTTTATAACCTTTTGCTAATCAAGATAGATAACATTTCTATCAACCCAGAAAATCTCAAGCTTTTTCCTAGTCTCCTCACTCCCATGACTTGCTGTCCTGGCCAGAGACAGCCATGGTTCTGATGTTTTTACATCATAGATTAGTTTTGGTCTTGAGAGTTTTGTATCTTCACCTTATATTTTATGACCTTTCTAAATTCATTTTCTAGTAGTTCTCTACTACTAGATTTCTTAGGTTTTTTACACTAACAGAGATCATTGGTGAATAGACACAGTTTAACTTTTTCCTTTCTGATTTTTATGCCTTCTTTCTTTACTTTGCCTAATTGTACTAGGGCCTCCTGTACAAGCTGGAAAGAAGTGACAGCTCACATCCTTGCTGTGTTCCCAGTTTTTCAGGTGGTTGGTACATTGGATCAAATCTTCTGTGTCCGTTCTAATTATTTTCTGATTTTTCTATCAGTTACTGTGAGAAGGTTATTAAAATCTTAACTCTGATGATTGTGCATTTGTCTACTTTCTTTTCTCTCTCACACACATGTATGTGTTCATATATACACACATACGTGTATGTGCTTATATGTATATATATAATATATGCATAGGTACACACATATACATACATTTATATCTGTTTCTATAACTAAAGACATAGAAATACATGAGTTCATACCTATAGTTTCAATTCCAATCTAATTACACTAGGTTCACTCTATTCTTCTCCTTTTCTGTATTTGTGACTTTCTTTTTAGACAGTGAGAAAACTGGCTCCCATTATCTTAGATGTATTTCTTTGATCAATTCCCCATTTTCCTTTTCCTTTTCCTGGTTGCTCTCATCCCACTTGGGGCTCCAATATCCTTGTTCAGACTGCTTCTCTGCAAAAATGCCTGCCTCACTCTGTGCCAACAGATGGTTTTAGGCACTGAGACTGAATTTTGGGGGAAGAGAAAGTGACCACATGTCTTTTAAAGAAATAATGTCCCCGTTTTAACATTTCCAGTACTTTTGTATCTATCTATTATCCATCTGCTATCTTTTCCCTTAACCTAAAAAACTTCCTTCAGCATATCTTTCAGAGCAAGTTTGCTGGTGATAAATGTTCTCAGTTTTTATTGACCTGATAGTGACTTTATTTCACCTTCATTCTTGAAAGATATTTCTTCTGTATATATAATTATTGGTTGACAAGGTTTTTTTTTCTTTGTTTCAGGATTTGTGTTATTGTGTCATTTTACTGTGTTCTGACCTTTGTTTCTGATTTGAAGACAATGCCTTAATATTGTTGTTACCCTTTATATGGTGTATTGTCTTTTCTCTGACTGCTTTCAAATTTTCTTTCTATATTTTGTTTTCAGCAGTTTGACTTAAAGATATCTAACTGTAGTTTCTTTTGTATTTAACCTACCTGGTATTAGATGAGCTAGTTCATTTTTTCAGCAGATTTGGAAAACCTTGGACATTATTTCTTCAACTAATTTTTTTCCGCACTACTCTCTTTTCTGACATTCAAATTACACGTACATTACATGACGTAACATTGCCAGCAGGTCACTGGGGCTCTGTTTTAAATATTTTTAAATATTTTTCTCTCTGTCTTTGGGCTGGATAACTTACATAGATTTAACTTTCAACTTTACTTGCCCTATCTTTTAGAGTCTCTAATAAAGTCCAGAAATTTTTTTACTCAATATATTTTAATTTGAAATTCTATAATTTGCATTTTAGTTATTTTAGTTTCATTTTTTTATATTTTATACGTCTTTACTGAAATTCTTTGCCCACTCATAATTGTCTCTTCCTTTAGGTCCTTGGGCATAGGTAAAATAAACAGCTGTTTTAAAGTCCTTGCCCAACATCAGAGTCATCTCAGAGTCACTTTACATTGGCTACATTTTCTCTCAATGAATTAGTCCATTTTTTGTTTTCTTTCTTTATTATATCCTAGCTATTGAACATTATTGTTAATGTAATGTCGTAACACTATTGATATGTTTCAGAGAATTTTATGTCATTATCTTCCTGGAAGGGATTAATTTCAATTCTAGCAGTTAACTTGGCTGGGTTCATACCTCCAGCTCTGTCTTCCCTGCTCTGTGCAGTCACTGTAACCTTGCTCTTTATTTTAGCCTTTTAGCTGCTACTTCTTGATAGGATGCTTAAGTCCCCATATACTTTTTTAGTTCAAGGTTTTGCCAAGATTTGGTCAGAGTTCATGCATGGCTTTTAGAGCTGTCTCCTATATGGCCCCCAGATAGCAGGAGTCCCTCACTCTCTGGGTGCTTAGTAATCAATCCCATACACTACCCTCTGTCTCTTCAAATAAGTAAAACTGGTTTTCTATTTGTGTTCTAGCCACCCTGTAGTGTAGGAATGGGAAAGTGACCTCTGTTAAAAAGTTGTATAAATGTGAATCTCACCCAGTACATTTCTTTGTATTAAAATTGAATTGTTTTTCAGTTCCTGCCTATACTTGGTTCCTCTTTATTACCCCCAAATAGTTATTTTATATTCTTAGTTCAGAGTTTATAATTGTTATACACAGGACTGTTACCTGTATACAAGCTATGCTACTTTTACTGGGAAGGTTTATTCCCTGTTTGATATGTTTCCCCAGCAAACTTCCTAAGCTGGTGGATTTTAAGTAATTGTATGTATGATAGCTACACTCATTTTTAAAAGTTGATGTTTGGTATTCATCAGTTTCTGACTTAAAATAATTCCTTAATTATATATTTCAACTGAAATTTAATTAGTTAATTCAACAAACATGTGCACCTGCTCTCTGTAGACACTCTGCAAGACCTTGGTGTTAGAATTATAAACAAAAGCAGTAATGTTTCCTTTTCTCATGGAGTTTATATTCTAGTAAAAGAGAAAGTAGTTATTATTTAGAAGGCTTTGTTCATATACCAGTGATGCAAGAATGTAAGCTGAGTCCAAGGATCCTAGAGTGATGGTTTGACAGGCTGTTTACAAATCAGTCTAACCTGCTCTTTGAATAAACTGCTTTCAGGTAATACCTGTTTAGTGTAGTTTACAGAAATGCACATGTAGTGGATTTCCTGTTACCACGATAAAACTAGTTAGCTGAATTCTTTATTATTTCTGCACATCCAATTTACAATAATAATTGATTCTCATTATGACAACTTTTAAGTTTTTTAGTTGCCTTTTGAAAAAAGAAAATGTTGCCCAATGTTCAGAATAAGGAGAAAAGTAAGAGAGTGAATATCTACTGAGTACATACTGTGTTCCACATTCTTTGCTAGCTGTCATAAATTGAAAAAGCAATTCTTATAGCCCCCTAATATTTTTGTTACTATTACCTTCTTTTGCCAAGATGACACGGAGGCCTAGAAAGATCTCAAAACATTCCAGTTATTCAACTAGTAAATGATGGCACTGGAATTTGAACCTACATTTGAATAGCTTAAAAGTCCTTTTGTGTGCCATTACGGCATTCTTTTTCTATTATGGTTTTAGTCTAAATATTCACATTTTATCTTTTTTTTTTAATTGGCAGACCAATATGGCTTATATATTTAGTTCTCTGGTAGAGAAAATTACCTTACCAAATCTGCCCATTAACCTTACTCTACTAGAAAATACTTTAAAATTTGACTTACTTAAAAAACACCAAACAGACTTCAATCATTCTTATAGGCCTTTCCCATAATGATTTTGGGGAAAGAAAGGATTTACCTAAAAATTAAGGTGTAATTGACATGCAACATTATATTAGTTACAGGTACACACATAATGATTTTATATTTATCACTATTGCTAAATGATCCCCACAGTAAGATGAGTTAGTATCTATCACCACACATAGTTACAGAATATTTTTTCTTTTGATGAGAACTTTTAAGATTTATTCTCTTATTAACTTTCAAATATGTAATATGGTATTATTAACTACAGTCACCATGCTGTACATTACATTTCCATGGTGTATTTATTTTGTAACTGAAAGTTTGTACCTTCTGACCCCCTTGACTCATTTTGCTCACCCCATCTTCCCCCCTGCCTCTGGCAACCACCAATCTCATCACCTAATCTGTGCTTTGTATCTATGATCTTGGTTTGTTTGTTTGTTTTAGGTTCCACATAAACATGAAAACATATGGTAATTTCTTTCTCTCTCTGATTTATTTCACTTAGAATAATGCCCTCTAGGACCAGGATGGCCTTAATATTTTATGTACTGATATTTATTATTCACTGATACACACAGAACTACAGATATACAGGGAATCCAGTCAGACAGAGAATGTCCTAACCATCTCTTGGTAATACTGGTAATGACATCTCTTGGTAATTACAGAAGGAGAACTTGAAGCAGAGTGGTTGCAAGATGTGGGTTTATCAACCCTCATCTCAGGTGATGAAGAGGAGGATGGCAAAGCCTTGCTCTCCACGTTGACTCGAACCCAAGCAGCTGCAGTGAAGAAGAGATACAATACTTACACTCAAACCATGAGAAAAAAGAATAAGCAATCTGTCAGGGATGTCAGAGACATCTTTGGAGTCAGCGAATCTCCTGTAAGTAATGAATATGGCTCAAAAGGTTTGGTGTGACTGGGGGAGGAGAGCAGAATGTGGGAGAAGTATCAGAAAAGGCTGGTAATCCTCCAGCTGGTAAAGAAAACTAAAGCAGATGGCACAGTGCAAAACTGTACAAATTCAAAACCTGACTGATCATTCCTTATCTGCCTTACAGCAAGCAGTCTCCCTTAACACTAAATGTCTTCCCTTTGTTGAAGCTGGAGAATAATTTATTTGATTAATGGAGCAAGTCTTTGTGGATGGGGATCTATAGAGCCTTTACTTACATCTAAGTACTGATTAGAAACTCTCTGACCAGGCAAAGGAGCCCCAGAGAAGTGGACCCAAGTATTATAAGCAAGTCCTAGTGGTTTGTTTTAAATGGGTGGGGATAGGAGGATGGGTAGTGTAGCCTTTATGTTCAAATAAATGAAAATGGTAAAAAGTGAAAGATACTACCATTAAGGGAGCAAGGAAGTATTTCAGAAAACTGTACAGGAGTATCACATGTTTTCTGAGATATGCTGGCTGAAATTCTGGCTTATCCTCAGCAATTCCACGACCACAATTTTACTCCTGAGGCTTTTTGGTCATGTTCTCCTATTTCTGTGTCTGTTTTACTGCTAGCTGGCATTCATTCATTCATTCATTCATTCATTGCACTGTTGCAATGTTGCATTGACATAATTGCATCATTCCTGACATAATACTTTATTGGATACATTCTCTGAACAAAGCCCTATCTTACGTTCCATGCAAATAGTATTCTTGTACCTTTGGGAGTAATTAGTATATAGACAAAGGAAACTTGATATTCTGTTGCAGTTCATATAAAGTTGCCTGGGGTAGGTTAGCTGGGCGCTCTGATTTAGGTTTCTTAGTTGTTTAATTGTAATGTTAATGATATAAATTAAACTTCAAGGATATTGTGGGGCAAGCATTGTTGGAGACAGTCTCCAATTTGAGTTATTTTAAGTTGTCTGTAAATTATATCTTCTCTTCAATATATTAGTCACACTGGGTAGTTGCAGGGCAACTCACATGTTCCAAGTTAACGTTTGCATTTATGCTAGTAGTGTTCTAGAATAGCACTGTCCTTCAGAACTTTCTGTGATGATGGAAATGGTCCCTTTTTGTTCTGTCCAGTACAAAAACATGTGGCACCGGCTCTTGAAATGGAGCTAGTGTTAGGAACTGAACCTCTAATTTTATTTAATTTTAATTGATTTAAATCTAAATAGTCACATGTGGCTTGTTAATAATGTTGCCATTCTAGAATCTTCTGTGGTATACCACTGTATACCTGAGGTACGAGCATTTTTAGTGACACGCTGTTTGAATTTTCAACCTAGCAGTAACCTGTGTTTTTCTGGATGGTGAGATTTTCTGTAGCTGTAGCTGAGTAAAGGTGATGCCCTCAGCTTTAGGCAAGGACTCCAGTCATGAGTCCCGGCCAAGATGCCTATCAGAGAAAAGGCTCTCCCGTGGGTCATTTTTTCTGTTCTGTCCCACATCTTGAGGGAGTCCTGGAAACTTGGCCTACATGCTTCCTTCCCATTTCTGTTTCCAGCCACTCCAGACTAAGATTTTTGCTCTTCCCCAGCAAACTGCAAAATCAGAAAGGGTCTGTAGCTTCTCCTGAATCCTCCAGTTACTCAAGAAAATGCATAACTCACCTCACTATGGTCCCTAAATTTGGGTCTCTGGTCACATAGGAACAGTGCTCGTTCTGCTGCTTTCACTTAGACCCCAGAGGACCGTAAAGGGGGGCTCCCTTGCTGGGGCTGTGAGGGTGCAAAGAAATGAAGAGTCATTTGCTAATGTAGGCGCAGTGAACTGTAGGCTTGTAACTCCAGCAAAGGCAGAGAGAGGGCCACACTTGTGGCAGGTGAGGGGACTGGCCAGGGGCTTCTGCTCCTACTCTCTTTCTTTCTGTCATCAGTTACCTACATTAATAGAACAGTTACTTAAAGTTTCCATTTCAGTTCCTTAATGAAAATTTAACATCATAAATTTCATAAGGTAGTTTGCACTAATCTTAGATGTATGAATCAGACTTGGTGTACTTAACTAACTAGTGAAGATATAAATTCAGTAATTTAAAATATAGACGTGTAGATTATATGAGTGCTTTTCCTAAATTTCTGCACCTAGTATCCTGTGCTCAAAATCAGTTTCCTTCAGCATTTTGAGGATATTGGCCTGTTATCTTCCATGCCCCTCTGCTGTGGGGAAGCACGCTATCTATATTAAACTCCATTGTATCCAAATGTGGGTGCTTTTGAATTTTATTTTTATCATGGGAACCTTGAAGTTTTACCAGTTTTACTTTTGTAAGAAGACATTCATCCTGGTCACTGCTGAGTGAGCTCTTTCACTCTGAGAACTCATTCATTCTTCCAGGTCTGCGTATTTTCCTCTAACATATTTATTCCCTTCATTTTTCTCATCAGTTCCTGCCACTCCTGTTAGATGATGGCTGCATTGTTTGGATTGAGCCCCAGTGTGTCTTAAATGTTCTCTTACATTTTCCAAGCTGTTTGTGGGAGTGTTTGTTCTGCATTCTTGGCTACCCCTTCAACTTCATTTTTCACAGCTATTGTTGTATTAATACTTCTGCCTTTCATTAATTTTTAAAATATAATAATCATACTGTTAATTTACTAAAGCTTCTCTTTTCCTCTGATTTCCTTTTTATTTGATTGATCTCTTCTTATTTTTTGGTTGCAATACCCTCTCAGTTCTCTGAAGGTACTAAATAAATCTTAAATCCCAAGGTTCTCTTCTTTTCTTTGAATTATCCTTGAAATTTCCTTCAGGGTCATTTATTTATTTTGGGCATCATTACATTGTTATTGTTAATTGATTTTGATCCTTGGCTGTTAATTCATATTTATTAATGAAGGACTAGATTGATTGATTAGTATAGGTTATGGTTGTGTATTTCCTATGCAGTCACGCAGACCAGTTTTCTCCCAGAAACTCACCTGTGAATAGGAGTCTGGGCCTGTGTGAGTGGTAGACTGTGTCAGTGTCAGCTATCACACTTCACTTTAAGACACATAAATATGGAACCAATGCTAAAATAATGAGAGTCCTGAAGAATCATAATTTATTTCCTTTTCAGGTAAACATAACTTCCTGTCTATATCCATTTAGAAGGTCCCAGTGAAGGGCAATTCAGCTTTCCTTGTTCAGGACTGCTCACACTGGGCCAACCACTGTCCCCCCCAAGGCAGGTGGTCACTTTGTCACCAAGAGGGCAGTTGTTGGATTTATCTTGGACTCACATTGAGCTGCTGCCCACTGTTCCGAGTTAGAGGGAGGAAAGGTCTCCTGGCCTATTTGTTCAGAAAGATGTTTGTGAGTCACTTTGTCAATTGTCTTTGGAATTGGGGGATACTTCCCTGCTCTTTTTTATTCACATTCCTGGAATGTGCTTTTTCTGGATCAGCACATTTTATTCTTGTAACTTTTTTCAGGCTCAGGTTTTTCTCTACCCATATCAAACCATTCTTGGTTGCTTTTTGTGCCAGGAACATCCAATAATCTATGTTCTGCTAATAGAAATCTTTAGTGGTTCCTAGACCTACTCTTTAAAAAAGACATCTTTGTTGACACTTTGAATGATTTGCAGTGGGGGAAGAAAGTGGTATTTGCATTTTGCTATCTTGATCCAAATTTCTTAATGTTTGTTCCTTTCAAAAAAAATGTTTTCTCCTTATAAAAGTAATACATAATTGTTACTGGAACCTTAGAAAATATGGACAAGCAAGGTGAAAAGTGACTTTTTCTATGGAGCCCAATAAAGTTTTATCATTTAACTAAGTATCCAATTAACTTTACTTTCCTTGGAATTCTAACCATAAAGGAATAGAATATTTAACCCTCATTTTAGTAGAGCTACTATACGCTAAATCACAAATACTAAATCAACCTCTGGGTGCGTAATACAAGGTCTATAGTCCTATTCATCATGAGCAGAACTGCAGTGTCCAAATGTATTTTTTTCTAATACTCAGATAATGTGACTCATTAATGCACCTAATTAGCAAAATATTTAATCTAATTTATTTCTAATGTCACAATTTATAAACAACTAGTTAAAGTTGGGACTGGCTTACAATTGTATAAATATAGTCATAGGCCATTTTAAAAACATGATGATTTCTATTCATTTGACTGCATGTAATACAAAATCCAAGAAATTATGAGTTAAACAAATGTGGATTTGTTTTTCTTTCTCTCTTAAGAAGAAGCTGAAGGTAGGTATTCCTTTGCTTTGGCATAGCTCCAGCTCCCTTCTGCCTTCCCATTGTGTCTTCCACGTGTGGTCTTCATCCTTTTGCTTACAAGTTGGCTGGGCCATTCCTGGGACCATATCCATATTCCTGGCAGTTCCTGGAACTTCCACCAACTGACTCTGTCCCTCTGACTTTAGTTTCCTGGAAATAGTACTTGGTAGAGTTCCAGTTACTCCTCATTGCCCAGAAATACTATGTGATCATTTGTAGCTACAGAAAAGCCTGAGAAATAGGTGTTTTTTAGTTGGACAGAGAAGTTCCTGAAAGAAAATCAGGATCCTTTTAAGACAGACAGGCAGCTGGGTTTGGGGTAAGCAATTGATAATGTCTTTCATAGACCACTGTCTATCATGCTTGGCCTGCACTGGGCTCTCAGTATTGGCTGAAAAAATGGGTGAAAGCAGAGCACAGGGGTCACCTCTATGGGCATCCCCACACACCTCTGTGAATGTACACAGAGTATGCATCACACATGATTGAATGCACACTTATCCTTGGAAGAATGCGCCTGAGTAAAAATGCACTCTCATTTTTCTCAATAGCCAGATGATTATTGTTGTATCCCAACTCCTCTTTTGGATGAGACCCTGGATGAAGAAGGGATATCAGCAATTCCCTGCAGAAATGGTCAACTGGTAAGATCAAGCAAGGGGGATTGAGAGTGAGATTAGACAAAGTCATTATTTATTTCAAGGCAGTCAGGAAAACTTGGAAAAAAAATGTTCATTTACCTTGTAACAAGAAAGAAAAAGGAGACTGTTCAACTCAGCAGTGAATAATTAAATAGTCAAACCCACAAATAATTATGCGGCTTACCCATACAGACCAGAACAAAAACAGCCACAGCTGCAGCTCACCAAGAGTCCCAGTATCAGAGAGGTGGCCCGCTGAACTTTTGGTCTCTGCTCAATGCATAATGGAAAATCTTCTCCCCACCATGCATCTTTAAATATTAATTTAATTATTATGAGACTTATTTTGACATTGTAGTTATTTTCAAAATGTAAATATCTCGTGGGGACAACAATGCAGCTTCTTAAGTGTGTAACAGTGAATGGGGTAAAGTGCACCATCTGGCACAAGGGGAGACACAATGCATTAGAGCCCACTGTGGCCATTTTAGTTCAAAGCTTAAGAGTGCTAATTTGGCTTCCCAACTGCCACTGAAGATTTCTCAGGAGACTTTATTTTGTGCAGCGAATCCCATGCCATGACTTGTACCAGTTGGCATGAGGCATGGGTCCTCTTGAGGCAATGCACCCTGAGCCAGGGACACAGAGGGATGTGGGTTTCGGTGGCTCCGCTGGGGCTCATGGCAGTGGATTTACAGAGAGAGCCTTCTTGTTATGCTTCAGTATCCTTTGCCTTAGCTGTGCTTTTTTCCCCTTCTTACCAGAGGAAGAGGTTATTCTTGCTGTTCTAAGAATAACCCCTGTACCGTCCTTGATCTGATAAAGATGATGACGACAATGATGTTTCGTTTCTGTAACATTTATTTTCATCTTGCGTGTATTTTATGGGGGATGCTCTATCTGAATCTTGCAATTGTACTAGCAGAGGCGTTATCTCTTCTCAAGTTCTGCCCAAGGCTTTTGGATGTGGCCAGTTCGTGCTCTGGCTGCTCTGCTATTGCCTGAGGGTAGGCCAAGGTCTGGAGGTGGCCTGTCATCAGCTGGGGCTGTGCGCAGTCCTGTTTTGCAGATTTGGGCTCCAATTTTTGCTCTATTTTCATTATGTTTTTCATAAGAATGTTCACTCCATATAGTTAGAGGTCTTTACATTTTCTGTTCTCGGCAGCAGGTGTCCTCAGATTTTGTTCCCTCAGTGCCTTTAGGTGTCATTCGTTGCTGACACTCTCACCTTAGCCATGGACTCTCCTGATTCATCTGGGTTTATTTTATTTCTTTTCTCTTTTATTACTGTCCCCTTTCATCAATTCTTTGAAGGTTTATCTCCCTTTAAAGGTTCATCAATGGGCAAGTGTACTGCTAAACCCATGCAGGAATCTCTCACTGAGATGGAAAAGCACATTAAAGTCTCACTGCAGCCTCTCCTGTGAGCTCCTCACCAGATTACAGAATGAGAAGCAAGCCCTGTTCTTTGCCCGGGAGGATGACTAGGGTAGCTGAACAGAATAACAGAATAGTAAAGATGCTAATTTGTATAATCACATATATAACGTACATCTCCTTAGCAGATGGCACCTTTTATCCTTTGAGCAAATCTGGGAAGAAATATCTCTGGTAAATAAGGTTTCATGTCCAAAGGCTTAAATCCTAAATTGGTAAGTATAAAAATGCTAGGCCCTGTTTGATTTTTTAACTTGGTAATCATACTATTAATTCATAAGGATCCCTTTTTATCTGATTTCCCCTTTATTGTTCTAAGTAGTCCTGGTTTATGGTTGCTGTAGCCTCTCTAATATCTCTGAAATTATTACTTTATTATAAGCATTTTTCTCTTCCACCAGTTCTCTGTTTTACCAATATGTTTATCACTATACTTTTCTATGATGTTGATTTTCTCCAGTGGTTGATGATCCATGGTGACTGATTTGTGTTTATTAATGGACTGGATTGGCTACTTCATGACTTAGGATTCATTGTTGCAATATGATTTGTCTGCTGTTACATAGATATTTTCCTAAAGGAAAATAGGGGGCTGACTTCGAGTCCTGTGTAAGTCAGTAAGGTGTGTGAATAGTGTGTGAGTGGAAGTTACTTGAACAGCACATGAAGGTGAGTACACAAGCGTGCATGCACACACACACACACAACACACACAGGCACATACCTTCAACCCCAAAGGGAGAATGGCAAATGACTTCATTCTCTCCCTCCAGACAGAGCTGATGTTTTCCTTTGTTCTCCCATCCATGTCTTTCATGGAGGTCCAGAGTGACTGATATTGAGGTGCCAACCCTGGACATCTTCTGGGCAGGTAGTTCACTGGGTTTAGCGTGCTTTTCTTGGGGCCATACGTACCTACTGCCTGTTGTTCAGTGTATCATCATGGGAGCTGGTGGGAGGCCTGGCTGGCCCCTCCATTGAGGAAATGCTTTACAATACAGTATCCTGGCCATTGCTCCCAGGAACCCCTCCTGCCCTTTGTATTTTTCACTCAGCTTGGTTCATTGTCTGTTTGCTTTTTGTGGATTTGTCCTTTCCTTGTCAGCAATGTTGCCTTATACTGTTCTTAGGTTGAAAATTTCTCTACAGTTATAAAATAAATTATTTACTTTTTATTTTCCAGGAATTTCTAACAGTTTCTCATCTGTTATTAGAACAGTTCATTGGCTTCCAGTGCCATTTGGACTGTTCTTATAGATATAGACACTTTCCCTCATTTTGAGTGGTTGGGAGTGGTGTGCGCTCAGTCCTCCGTCCTGACTTAAGTTCTCTTGTGTTGACTCTTTAGGATTGTTTCAAAATAGATGTGTGTTTTTCTTATTCAAATAGTACATATGCTTTTGGAGAAAGTCAGAAAACACGGAAAAGCAAGATGAAAAATAACAGTTCCTATGGTCTCATGTTTATGATTTCATTAATATCTAATATGTCTAATTTTGCAAAAGTGCGTTTTCAATCATGGAATAAAAACATATGCAACTTATTTGGGGAATGCCATTGTATTGCAAATGCTGCCAAAAATCTTAGAGCATGTGCACAAGGCCTACAATGCAGCCCATTATAATCAGAATACTCTCCAAGTACACTTGCTGCATAATGAAAATCAAAGCTTTCCCAATATTTGGTGAATGGGAATGAAATACTTGTTTCAGTCTTGGGTGTCTGTAAGGTAATCAGTCTAATTAATTTCCAACTTCAGAATTGAAAAACACTGACTATTCTTGCTATTAGTTTATAGATCATTGCAAATTCAGTTGGTTCGATTTTAAAGTAGGATAGTTTTGTCACTAATTGATATAACTTAGACAATTAGAGTTTATTTTCCCTACAAAGTAAGAAGTCTGAGGCTGTTACAGCTAATATCCCTAGTGTGATCCACCAACTTCTTTATCTTTCCATTTGGCTCTACTTAGCATATAGGTTACTATTAATGTTCATAGTCTGTCTGGGTTTCACAGGCACCCTGTCCATATTCTGGAAGAAGTATCAACCAGCTGATTCCATCCATATTTCTTTAATAAGAAAATAGTGGCCTTCCTGGGTGTTCTACCAAGTAGGCTTCAACTTGTATCTTTTCATTGGATATCACATAAGTTAGATACATAGCATCTTGGAGCACAGTCATGATATTCACTAGTTAAAGAAGAAAATTGGATTTTGGCCCATAATTAAGCAGTGTCTGCTTTTGAGACCCATTTCTATTATAATGCATGACATTTATAAGTATAATTAATTCTGGAAAAATTGATGAATGCTGTTACCATTGCACAGGTAGTTATTAAATCTGGGTGTCTCCACATGGCTGCACATTTATACAGATTCTAGTGTAGTGTGTAATTAAATAAGCAATCACTTTGGGAAAGATGTGCTTGGATAAAAATGACTGATATACTTCATTAGCCAGGTGATTCCTGTGACCACCTTACTTCTCAGTTGGATGGCACCCAGGAGGAAAAAGAACTGCCAGGAGTTATCAAAGCAAGTGTTTCCTTGGTAAGTTACAGTAGCACTGGGGGGCAGGGATGAAAGGAGGAGCCATTTCTTTAACACAGTTGTGCAAAACATCAAAGCAGTGTAACATAATTCAGATGGCTGGACCACTGCAGCTGTCCACACACCTGTCCATCTTTAATCGATTTGTAGGAAAACATCCAGCAGTAAATGAACCCAAGTTTAATGGTTAAGTCCATAAAAAACTGCAGGGTCCGAAAACAAGAAACATGTCCAGAAAACCAAGGATTTGTAGGCATTTATTTTTGACAGATTTACTCCTTTACCTATTTTTCTTTTCTTTTAAAACATTCTCATAGGAGTGTTATTTTCACTGAGTCATAGGTCCATCTGCTGGGGCAGCAAAAGGCATCCACAATTCCCTATTGTTTCCCCAGTGTGGGTGAACATCAGGCACCCTACTTCCCACCATACTGTCAACGCTAAGTGCCCCATGTCCCTCTCCCTTCCCTGCTGCCCTGCTTTTCCCAGAGCCACTTCTGCTCCCCACTTCCTCAGGGGGGCCACAGCAGCAACCTGAACAGCATGAGCACGCTTCCGTCATTTACAGCCAGGGATGGCTGTCTAGTGGTTCAACCCAGAGCTGTTTCTCGCATCTGCTGCTGCCTGCACTTTCTCTATCCCATGCTGTCTTTTCTCTCCCTATATAGCTTAGATAGTCTGTTTTCCTTTCCATTTTTACACCCTCATATTCACTTTCCTAACTTCTTCCCAGACCGAGAAAAGCAAAATGGTGAATCCCCGCATGTCCTCTCCTTCCTGCTGCAGCGGCCCTGGGGCTTAGCTGGAAGGTAGGCATCGCTGGGACCCAGGTGTGGACACTCATACCTTCAGTCATTTCCCTTCATAAGTTGGAGGAGAAAGTAGTTGTCTTTCAAAATTTTCTCCATTTGCTTTCTTCCTTGATGCTGCTTAGATAGGGAGGGAGGTGGATTTTGGAAAAAAATTGGCATTATTCCTGGACTACCTCTGACCACAAATGGTGGGAATGCTGGGATTCTTTTTTTCCTATTTTTTTAAATATGTTTTGTTGACTCTACTAGGTTTTCAGAGAGAGAAGCTCAGTCATATTTGGTATTTCCAAACTTTGGGTCCCTTGACTTAACCACCCAGATCCTCTAATTTTGAAAGCAAAATCAACTTTCTCTGTCAAGAACATCCCTGAATTTTCCCATGGTAAAATTTTGTTGTCTTCTTTAGTCTTTTAAAATGGGCAAAGATTTGAATAGATGCTTTACCAGAGAAGATAAATGGATAATAAATAATCTTATGAAAGGTATTACTGATTATGGAAATGCAAATAAACCTACAATGAGAAATCTCTACATAACCCTGTAAAATGACTAAAATTAAAGCTACTGATGGTAAGGATTCCAGCAGCTGAAACTCTCAGTGCACTGCTGGTGGGTATGTAAAATAAAAATGGACCATTTTGACACATAATTTGGCACCTGCTTAAATTGTTAAGCCTTTACCTACCTTAGACTCAGCCATTCCACTCATGAATAATATATATTCATCCAAAGATTTATCCACAAATGTTTATAGGGTAATAGCTCAAAACTGGAAACTACCCAATTTTATCTATTGGTAAATGCATGAACAGACTGTAGTATAGCCACACAGTGGAATATTGCTCAGCAACAAAAAGCAGTGGCCTGCAGCATAGATGGATTTCAAAATGATTTTGCCATGTGAAAGAAGCCAGACAAAAAGAATTCAGTTTATATAAAATTACAAGAAATGTAAAGGAACCTTTAGGGAAGGAAAGAAGATCAGTGATTGCCTGGGGACCTGGGGATTGTCGAGGGGTGGGGAAGGAGGGGCGGGGAAGGAGGGATGATAAAAGGGCATGAGGACATTTTTGGAGGTGGTGGTTTTGTTCATTATCTTAACTGAGGTGATGGTTTCACAGATGTATATATTTTTCAAAACTCATCAAATTGTATACTTTATACTCTTTAAATTGCTGTTGTCAGTTATACCTCAATAAAAAGAGTTATACCTCTTTTAAAAAGAGTCCATGTAATATCATTTCATTAATATCCAACATGTTTATTTTTTGATAAGCTACTTACAATAAAGGAAGAGTCTATTCATGTAGTGCTTGACCCTTGACTCTAAATCACAAACACCACTAAATTTGGGCATTAAGAAAAAGGCTTACAGTCCAATCTATAATCATCATCAACCTACTCTACAAATCACTCCTTATATACATGAAAGAAGATATTTTCCTTATGTGTAGTTGACATAAATGAATTAGTCATTTGAGGTGTTAGTTTGTTCAAACAGCTAACTAGCCAATCTCGTTTATTTCCAATGTCTTAAGTGAAAATCAAGTAGCTATATTTGATATTAATTTAATTCACTGTAAATACAATCATACCATCTGTTCAAAATTATGAGTTACATCTGTGTTTGCTTCATAGAAAAGAAAATTTAGAGAAACTTGACTTAAACAAGCAGGAGTTTGTTTTAATCACAAATACAAGTCACTAATAGGTAGACCAAGATTCTCAACTTTAGCATGAACTTCTCTTTCCTTTACCACTGCCACTATAGCATGCAGATTTAATCTCTATAAGATGGCGAGCAAACTGGATACCATGTTGATATTCCTGTTAGAAATGTGTGCCACTGACCATTATTAACAGAAAACCAGAGCTTTCCTGGAAAAACCTGTACAGTAGGATTTCCCTTATGGGTTCACTGACTGACTGTTATATATGACATTATTTGTTTATTTTCTTATTTTAGTTGCATGAGTCTCATTCCTTTATGAATAAACTTTTTTGTTTGTTTACCCTCTCTGCAACTTTTCTGAATTTTGAATGTATTTTGTATTTGTTGCTGGAGTTCTAAACTTTCACAAGGACCTGCCCTTTATTTCATGCATCTTGGTCACTGCTCAGTGAGATGGTCGCTTTCCATTTGAGAGCTGTTTCTTTCTTCAGTTATGGACATTGTCTTCCATTAGGTCTTAAATTATTTCTCCTCCCCATTTTCTGTATCCCCACACCATCTAGAACCCATATGGCTTTGCCTGAGTTGAATTTCAGTATCTCCTAAGTTTTCTCTCATGTTTGTCTGTGCTCGGATTTCTTCATCTTTATGTTCCAGATTAGTATTTTTTTGTTCATGATTGTATTGTGTTTTTAGCTTGTCTCACTCTTTTTGTAAACTTCAGCAAACATATATTTTCCAAGAGCAACATTTTTCTCTCTGATATACCTGCTATTGTAGATGTATGTTTTGGATTCATAGCAGCAGTAGCTCCTTAAATCACTCTGAAAATAAGAATTAAGTTATTTTTAAGGAATCAAATTATTTTTATGATTTTTATTGAGGTATAATTTGCAAACAACAAATGCATACATTTTAGGTGTATAATTCAATTACTTTTAGCAAATGTTTTCATCTATGTAAGCATACTCAGTCAAAATAGAAACCTTTCCAGCACCCTGGAAGTTTCTCTCTCTCCCTATCTAGTTGATGTGTCCTTACACTCCTCCACAGGCAAGCCCCACTCTGATTCCTAATACCGTAGGTTGGTTTCGCCTGTCATATAAATGGAATTATAAATATTTAATGAACTCTTGTGTCTGGCTTCTTTCAGTCAAAATAATCTTTAGGTTCATCCATTTGTCGAATGTATAAGAAGCTTGATCCTTTTATTATTTATAAGAATCCATTGCATAAATATACCATTGGTTTATCTATTCAACTGATGATAGACATTTTGGGTTGTTTCTAGTTTTGAGCTATGATATATAATGCCATGAACATTCATGGGGTATAATGGAGGTGTATTCTCATTTCTCTTGGATAAAGATGCAACATAAAACAGATTATTGGCAAATAAGCCACCCACAGCCCCATCACATGTAGCTCTTAAACTCAGCAAGGGACATTTTAATAGGTAAATAAAAAATAACTAAATTCTATCTTTAAAAAAAGCATCTATAGAAACAACAACAAAAACTAATTTTTGTATGTGTGTATCCAAAGTGGACGATGTCTATTTAATCTTGGTTCTCATGGGTGAGCTCATACAGAAAAATTAAACTACCCTGTAAATATTTTTTCAGCATTTCTCAGTATCAGCTAAAATTAAATAGTTTCTTCCAGTTATTTTCCAAATATAAGCATCTTGAGTGGAGAACATGTTAGCTTTAGGGATGTGTGCCCGTAAGTTACACAGTGAAGTCTGCCCAGGTGTGAGTACCAGCTGGTCAGGGAATTGCACATTTCCCGTTGGGTAACAGCTAGTGTCCTCTGGTTTTAAGTGTTGCCTCCATTGCTAGGGAGTTTCTGACCAAGACTGGATCCTGGGTGTTTTTTTACTGTCTAGCTCCCCAGTCCCTCTCCACAACCCTGTCTATTGCAATCTTGTCACGGCACAGGGGTGAGATGATCCACCATAGGCTCCATCCAAAGAAACGTGGGGTGGGCAGTGTTCCACAGGGCAGAAGATGCCAGCACACTTCTGGGCGGCACTGCAGCCCTCTGGGCCCTAGTGTTCTCTGCAGAGCCGTAGTGCAGGACTTTATTGACTTTTGATTTATTAGTGTAGGAAATCGCTGTGTGTTTCCTCTGCAATTGAGTAGATCAGTTTTCCCCAAAAGCCACAGTTGTTTGTGTGTTCTTGTAAGTGAATAGGTATACTTAACTTTAAGGTGTGTAGAGGGGGCAGGTAGGTTAGGAAACACTCTCCCTAAAAGCAAAGCCAATGGAGGGCATGAAGAAATCTAATTTATTACTTCCAGGCAAAGCTCATTCCAGTTTTAAGTCTCCATCTGTCTTTTGTTTTGTCCTCCTGACTTCTGGCCCCTTTACCCCTAAACCCACCTTAGGAACCCAGCCACCCCCACGGCAGCTAGTTCATTTGATTTAGACTGCATTTGGGTTTGTTTTCCTAGTGTTATAATTAGGGGCTGTCCACATATTTAAGGCTGGGGGTGGTCTACTTGGTTCCTACTTTGTAAACATTTCTTAACTCTTTGCCCATCACCCTTCCTACTCTGTTACATTCTACATTATCTGTTTTTCACTTCCCTATTTTGAATTTTCTTTTATGCTGCTTTTAGGTAGGGGTTTTAAATTCTTTGCTGGTTTCCAATACTGTTAAAAATATGCTCCTTAAAAAAACATATATGTTTTCTGCCATTTTTAGTGATTTGGGAGGTGAGGGAAGGTAGATGATTGCCAGTTCACTGTCTTGATTTAAATTTCCAAAGCTATTTCTTATGTTTTTAGCTTCTTCTAAAAAAGAGTCCTTTATTTTCTAAAGTAATGTATACCATCTACAGAAATTCAGAAAGTATGGTAAAGCAAGATGAATAGCAGTTAAGTATCAAATATATTCAGTTTTGCAATAACGTTCTTTTAGTAAAGAAAAGAATGTTCATGTCTTAAATTTCAATAAAGCCATTTTGCTTTCAGTAATGCAAAAACCTCACTTCCAGCTTTCTAGATGAAAAAAACAACTTGATGCCGTTGCTACTGAATTCTAATCACTGTGAAAGATATCTGTAGGGTGGTTAAAAATTACACTAGACAAGTTGAGTTTCTGTTTGGGTGCTTGTAATAGAAAGGGAGGAGCTGTTTTGCTTCACATGGAGATGCTTGAGAAAGGTGGCCAGGTCTGACAGGGCAGCCCCATGGTGTGCCTTAGTTCAAACCCCAACCGGGCTCTATCTTCCATCTCTGCCTTCCATCACTGTGGTCATCCTTATTCAAACAAGATGCCTGGAAACTTGGCTGTCATCTCATATATCAGCTGATCCTATTCTTTTTGGTCCTTAAAGCCTTAGCTTTTCTGGAAGAACTCTTGTTAAAATTACACTTACACCTTATTGACCACACTTGTCACATGATCACTCTGAGCTACAAAGAAGCCTAGACATCAACTTCTTTGGTTTAACACCTCACTCCCTGGAACAAAACCAAAATACGTTAATAAAAATGGTGTTCGGGGCAGACAATAGTAGGGTCCCTATCTGTCAGAGGGCCTGGAATTTCATTGGCTCACAGTAATGATCCCTGGAGGGCCAGATGCAATTGTCTGTGCCCAGGCAGTCTCAACTTCGTATATCACTACCCATATCCAAATATGTACACATAGTGGAAGATATGAACACATCAGAAAGTATTTGCCTGAATAAGAATGGTATTTTTTATTTCTTTGTTTAGCCAGATGATGCTTCTCTCAATAGTACCACCCTGTCAGATGGGTCCCAGGATGAAGAAGGGAGTTGTGCAGTCCCCAGGAGTGGGTCTTTGGTAAGTCATCACATGCCAAGACAATCGCATGTCGGCAGAATTGCAAGAACAAGGCAAGAAGAAGTAGTTTCTTCACCACAGAGAAGAACTTAAGCTAAGATCGCAAGGAAACCATAGCTGCTACCACCTTGGAGCAATTAGGAGGAGACCCAAACCTGAGGAATGAATAGATGTCATTTAAAAGAGGACTCCCTAAAGTAATAAGACTGCTGTTAGAAACGGAAAGGTGTTCTTTGCATGTATCAAGCCTGGAGGCATTTGTTAACTTGAGCCATCTTGGCCGAGTTCACATAGATGACCTGGCCTAACTCTACCATCTTAACCCAGAGGTCCTTTTACCTGCAGGATGAATGAAAAACCCCTCATCCTGATATTGCAGGTGCTCCACTGCTGCCTGCTTTCCAGCCTTAGAGCTCAGGACTCATACACACAAACCTTCCACTTTGGACAAATTCACTCATCTTGGCCTTGAGTAACAGAGTACAAAGTACTTGTACATTTCTTTGTCAGAAATTCATCATGCTCCCTTTCCCCACTAGGCATCCTCACTTGGTATCTGTGGCAGGGCCTCTGGCAGGGGCGATAGAATGGACCCAAAGGAGGAGACCCTGTTACAATGGCAAGTTGATGGAAGGCAGCAGAGGGCACAGTAGACCGGCAGGTGGAGGGACACATTCAGTTGTTTCTCATCTGTTGTCCAGTTTGAGGCATAGGATAGCTGACATTCACATGTGTAACACTCTCTGAATAGTCTTATTAAAGAGGGAGATAATGCTATTAGACCCATGTGAATGAACTTTTCTGTTGTGTTTTAAATTTCTAGTTATGAGATTGTTTTGTTGCACAGTGATCTTATAAGAAGCATAAAATAATGTGAATGAATCTTGTCAATGAGTAACTTTCCAATAGCCCTAAAGGTTATGGGACAGATAGGCTAAGGGTTACCTATGATGTCCGACCTACTGGCTATAAATTAAACTTTACTTTACCATTTAAGACTGTGATTGGAATACAAATAAGGAAGAATGTCTCTGTTTTAGAGATAATCTCCAGTCTACCCCACTTATTGATGAAAACAGAGTAAGTCACTAATAAACTCTGGTACCTGGGAGGAAGGGAGAGGAGTCATCTACCCTAGACCTGTACTCCTGTGACTGGGCACTTCTATTCTAAGGTCTTGCCTGGGATCCTTTATATTCTGTCTCACATGGTTGTGCCCTTGTGCTGAAGATTCATCCCTAAATGTTAGCCTTAACTCCATTTTCCCTCTCCCGTCTACATGCCCATCTCTGAGACTGATGGATTTTACCTTGTCAATAGTTTTAGAATATTTCTACTCCCTTCTTTTCCTACAACTCCCTTAGTACATAAACTCATCATCTTTCTATTTTGCTGAAGTAGCCCCTATGTGATCTCCCTAACTTTAGCTTATACCCCTCAAACTCATTCTTCCCATAGCTGCAAGTCATTGATCTAAAATGCAAGCTTAATGCCTTCAGCGGTTCCCCGTCACAGTCTAATTAGCATGAAAGCTCCTGATGCTGTGGGACCTCTCTATAGCTGACTTTACCACCCCAGACATCTTGTACAAGCCAACAACTTTGAAGAACTAAACATCTGTTGCTAGAGCACATGGCCAGGGCACGAGAGTGCCAGCTTGGTGGACAAGGTGATCTTCTTGGCAGGGGGCTGCATGGCTTTAGCCGCTGCCATTAAGAGCCACAGCAGGAGTTCATGCCTCAAGGGCTTCACAGAGCTGTTGACATCAGCAAGGAGCCACCTTGCCCAGGCCCAGCACTCTCAGACGGTGCTCACCCTAGGTATTTGTACTTGTAATGTCCCCTTGCCATAGTTGCTTCCTCATATGTTTTTATTGATAAGCTCCCAACTATCAATAACATAAGCTACTGAGTGCTTATCAGTGAGAACAGATGAGATAATGACATCCTGACACATCTGACTTCATTCTTATATCAAAACAACTGTTTTTTTTCTTTGTCATGAACAAGTGGATTTGATATCATATCAAATCAATACACAACAAAGTGTGCCATCTCCTTTAAAATAGAATAAGGAAAAGAGAAGAGAACACAAGGGCTAAACTTGGAGACTCCCTTATGCAAGTTGTAGCACACAACATAAAGGGTCCTTCATGAAACAGGTATTTGGTTATTGCCAAATAAATAAGAGAATAAAAGAGAACAAGACCAGGCTCTAGGAGAAAAAAAAGGACAGCCTTTTTACGTGAATAGTACCTAAAAGATTATTGATGTAATAGCAGATTTTACGCTCACACATATTCACAGATAACTCCCACATTAATATTTATATTGGTAGAAATAATAGGATTTGTGTGTAAGTTTTGTACTACTACCCATCCAGACTGAGTAGTCACTTGCTTCAGGAGTCTCTAAAAAGATAGCTACTCAAGTTTTGCTAACATTGCATAGAGTGCAGTACTTGGGAAGAAAGTAGCTAATTAAGAGAGAAAACTGAACTAGAAAACATACTTAATTTTTGGGTAGTTATCGTTCTGTATTTTATAATGAAGGAATTAATATGTTATTGTAGTAATAGTAGCTAACCCTCATATTGTGATCACTGAGTACCGGATATTTGTAGATGTAATTTGTATGTCATTTAAAATAATGACTCTGAAATATGTTCTCTTATCATCTTCATTTTATAGATTAGGGGAGTAAGCAATAGAGAATTCTAGTAACTTGCTCCAAGTGGCACAGCCTGGATTAGAATTCAAGCAATCTGGCTCCACAGTTCTTTTGCTAGACAGACCGCTATGCTGTCACTTAAGAGTTTAGGACCATATGTATGACCCACTGCATCAAGAATAAATAATAGTTAAACTGTGTGACTTCAAGCACTGTAATGTCTACATCTTAGGAAAGGTAGGAGCAACAAATACTGAAGAGCTAAGAAGACATGGTTACTTTGACCTTGATACCATTCTCTTTTGAGGAGCCTGTGTGAGCTGCATAGGCCTGAGCTGCAGAAACGGGACATCAGATGCAGGTCCTGTATGAAATCAAGCATTGCTCTGTGTGAAAAGAACTCTTGTATACCCGAGAACTAAATCCAATTGGAACATGAAAGAGACTGTATTTATATGGTAAAATGTTTTCTGTTCCTCTTCCCTTGCTTCACAGTCTACTGTTGAGACTATTCCAGATCTTTCAGTTCATCCCAGTGGATCACCAGACCCTGTACAGTCAGTGCAGAATGCAGTGAGTGGTAAGTTTTACCACCCCCCATTGAACTGGAGCAGTGTCATCTCGCTTTTCTTCTGGCACTCAATGCAGGTAGCAGTGGCCTTTCCCTAGGCACAGTGTAAGTGCATTTTCCTCCCTCTCCTCCCCCCACCTCCAAACACTTCATTCTATGGCACTAGACAAAATTTATTGAGCCACATTGGAAGCAGAATCCTTTCCTCCTTCACTACCACCACATCATTTAGCAAGTACTCACTTGGATAGTGTCTTTTGATTTGGAGCCTCTTTCACACATAATCTGGATCTGGTTAACCGTTGCAAGCAGGCCAGAAAGTAGGCCACTTCCAAGAATTTCTAATTTTGCTCAAGTGTATAGCACTACAGCAGCTTGTGACATGCAAGGTTATGGGGTTTGCTTTTAACTGGGCCTCTTTCACTTGAGGGGTGGGCATGCTACCTGAGCTCAGTACAGAATCGCAAGGCCTCCGTATGGGAAATAAGCTCCTTGAAGCCATACTTTTGTGATTCTTGGAAGTTTTCCCTAAATTTGCACACCCTTCTCTATACAACAGAGCCCCAGACTTTCAGCATTAGCTCCAAAATTCAAATAAGTTGGGCTGGTGAAAATGTTTTAAACTTGATTGTGGTGATACTTACACAACTTGGTGAGTATGCTAAAAGCCATTGACTTGTATACCTTAAATGAATGGATCATAAACACATGGATTATATCTTGATAAAGTAGTTATCAAAAGAAAAAACTCAAAGAGAAAGGGTTTGCCAGAAATTACGCCACATCATTCTATTTGCTGCTATACTTTTATTCAGTTGAAATCATACCACTAAAAGATAAAAGACTACATGGGATGTCTGGTGGTTTGGAGCATCGACCTGTATAATTGCTATTCTCCCAAGAGTTTGCCTGTAGGTTCCTTAAGAAGTCAGAGTATTATTTAATATTTAATCTTCTGCTCTGAACACAAGCCTCTGTGTGATGGGCAAATCCTAACGCTCCCTTTGCAGTTTCCTAAGTTCTCACTGGATCCATTGATTGTGTTTTTGATTAGTGTTCCTGGCCACAATTTTAAAATCTGTTAATCTACACATGTCTCCATGTAACTTTTAAGTAAGGTTAAGTAGGTCTTCTATCATCTCTAGTTTTTGTCCCTTCTGTTCTATTTGGTTGTCCTTTAGTCACTGTGTGTGGAGGAGGGTAAAAGTTGAGTTCTCTCTTTATAATAAAATAATTCTTCTCATTGCCTATGAACAATTTTGCCAGACAATGAAACAAGATGGCAAGCCAAACTTTTAGTCAGAAATCAGAGTTTAGGATTACTCAGAAGATTTCTGGATTCACTTGCTTTTGGTCAAGGAATCTATTGTCTTAATTTCAGATTTCTTGGAGGAAATCATTTACATGGGACATTACTTGTCTCCCATGCAGCTCTTTCTCAGTAAACATCATACAGAGTCAGGTAACCAATATCAGATCACAAGAATTTGGATTAATTCACCTGGCCAAACTTAGCAGTTAAGTCCAAATTGAATCTGAACAAATCTTAAGAGGCAAACATTCCATAGTTTAGGGTAAGAAAACCAAGAGGAGTGAATAGAGGCAGGAATTCCCATGGGAACACCACCCTTCCTCCCTTGGCCTTAAGCTCTGCTTCCCCAGTTGCAGCAACATTTGAGTCTAGGTGGACTTAACTTTAGTATCATAAGAAAATATAGAAATACCTTATTTGTAGACTTTCCTCTTGTAATCTTCAGTGCTATTCATGAGACAGAGAAATCTAAAATTAAAAGCATCAGATTAAATAGAAAGTTTGTTAAGTAATGATTACAGACGTTCATTCATATGGAAGTCTGATGACACCACGTTAGTGTTTAATGAAAATCCTCTGCCTGAGTCTGAAGCATTTCCTTGGATGTACACATTCTAATGGGCTTGCTAACATGTAAATATTTTGTGCTTATTGCACAGTAAATGGTATTGATTGATTTAACAGCATATTAGACATTCTGCATCCTTTGTTTTCTTAGGTGATGATTATCTGGAAAAAAACATTCCCCCAGAAACTGAAGAGCTGTCCTTTGAAGTATCTTATTCAGAAATGGTTACAGAGGCTCCAAAAAGAAATAAATTTAAGAAGTCAGATTTTAAGAAAGAAGACTATGCTTTAACTGTAAGTAAAACCTTTCATAATTATTCCAGTAACTTTCTGTTACTTCTCCATGGGCCAAACCAGGATTTAAAAAAAATTCTGTGTGTGGGGAGAGGTTAAGCACCTGTATTTCATAACACCAGGGCATCATTTTTTGTTTGTGCAGTGCACAGCCTGTGTGACCGTATCTGGCAGCCCTGGGTTGATGAAGAGTTGTGAGGGTGTATGCTTGAATCCCATTGTACAGAAGAAAAAGGATTTTCTGGCTTGTGTGCTTTCCTTACTTTGCTTGTAGGTTAATGCAGATTCTAACTATGTAACTACTTGTACCTCTAGAAGCCACATGCCAGCAGGGGGTACTGCAGAAAATCACAGTCCTTATAACAAGAAGTGAGCAATTAGAAGAGAGACACAAAAATTCATCAAAAATAAACTCGTGAATTTATAATATTATTGTGGAATGGGCAAGTAGAGTTACATACTTCATTACCCTGAAAACCTCAGTATGTATTTGTGTGTGTGTGTGTATGTGTGTGTGTACACACACACTTATCAGGAATAATATATCCTGAAAGCCTGTCACAGGAACAAGACTGCACTGATCTATTTGCTACTCAGTTGATGCATTTGTGAGCAGGACTCATGATATGGAGCCCTGAATATTCTGTGCTGAACAGGGCCGAAGGCATGATGAGCAGGGCTCAGGGACTCTCAGAGCTGAAGGAATGAGGCATAGAGAAGCAGACAGCCTTTGCCCAAGGTGGTGCATCATTCCCACCCCCTGAGGGACGGGAGGGAGGAAGGGCAGGAGCTGTAAGACTCCCTGAGTGCCTTCCTTCTACTGACCTGATGCTGCACTGGGTGTCCCCGCAGTCAGCCCCTGATGGCTACTCCCATCTTACAGCCAAGGAAACTGAGACCCAAAGAAGGTAAGTAACAAATTCAAAGCCCCACAGCCAGTAAGAGGCAGACAGTGTGTTAAAACCTACATGTGTCAAATTCCAAAACCCCTCCTTGTCCCTAAGCGGTCTCTGTGTTGGAGAGTACCTTGGAATTCCCGGGCAAAAGAGGGAATCCAGTAAGACTCTGGTTTCAGGGGGGTCCCTCTTAATCTTCCAAGAGAGGATGCTGGTCCAAATGCCCCTCACCCAAGCTGTCTCCTCCTGAAATTTGGTCAGCCTCCCATAGATGCAGGTCAGCCTCCCATTTGCAATAGGATTTAGCAAGTGGTAACTAACTCAATGCGTGATTACAAACCTTGTTTATATTGTTGTTATGTGGGGCCATGGTCTCAAGGTAATATACCCAGCTTTTTATAGCACAAGGTACACCCCAAAACCCATTCTAACATTTTGTTGTTAAATCCTTGAAGTCCCAGGAACACTTGTTGAATGAGTGAATGAATGGGTGGATGGTTTTCAAAGCCCAAGGAACTCTACCTACGGAACTGTGATGGAGAATGTGTACTTAAAGCTTTGTAATTTAAACAACTTTGGGCTTTTCTTTAACTTAAGCATTTTTTTTTCAATAGCAGATTTTCTGAGAGCCAAGCATATCTGTGGATAATATATAAGAACAATCTCTTTCGCAAGAGGTCTTAACTTCTTACAGCCTTCACTGTATTTTTGGATTGTTGAAGGGTTTTTTGTTATTACTTTAGTGTATTTTGTTTCCTAGTGTGAAACTGAAGAACATAACAATATTATTGTCTTCAAAATGATACTTGGATTTTTTTGGTACTTTTTATGCATTTTTCTTCTTTTAGGAATATTTGGAATCATCTCAATTTGACTTTTAAGGTAGAATAACTGCTATCTCTGCAAGCATGTGCAGTCAGTTTTAGTTGGGACAATACTTAGTCTTTTAAAGTATGCAGAAGAGAACAGATAATGTCCTGTTTTAAGGATTTATAGTCCCCAGAAAAAAGATATTTCGGGAGCCCTCCTGGGAGTACCCAGCTGGTGTGTCTTATATGCATGTGTCACCTGTGCCATGTTAGGTACATTCCATGTGGTACTGGTATCTGTGGTTGACAATACAGGGTGTTCCTTAGAAGAAAGCGGTTTGCACATTTGTGGTGGCAATGTTATCATATACTGCAGACCCTTGGTTTGCTTCTAATTTAGCATAGTAGAGAACTGCACATGTTCTAAAAGTCACATTCATTTCTATTAACAGCATGCGCATCAGAGATTTTTCACAAATAGCACATTTTGTGGTACAGATTTAGAATGTCCAGGTAGCATTTGAATGAAAAGGTAATAATTTTCCTTTGCCATAAGTAACAAATATCCCCAATATGTATTTTAGAGATTTATTGTTCAGAAAACCAGATTTGGCCTAACTGAAGCAGAAGATCTATCTGCTGAAGACATGAAGAAAATCCGCCATCTCTCTCTGATTGAATTGACGGCCTTTTTTGATGCCTTTGGAATTCAACTGAAAAGAAACAAAACAGAGAAAGTAAAAGGGCGAGGTAATTGAGAAGAAGACTAACGCTTTTTGATTTTAACGCTTTGACATGCTGGGATAAGAAAGTGCTCTTCTGATTCTTATTTTCTTTCTAAACTATTTCATGACGAAGACAATGGGATTTTTGGAGTTCCGCTGGCAGCCCTCCTGGACAGTGACCGAAAGAAGGACCCTGGAGCCAAAGTTCCCCTGGTGTTACAGAAGGTGTGCAGAATATAAGCGGATCAGGAACTCACAGAGCTTTCTGCTTGCAGTTTGGTATTTGTAAAGTCACTAATGAATTTTCTTTTATATGTAAAGACACTAAAGCCCTCTTAGGGCTGGGCTCTGGTACTTTCAGCTTTCTTGCCTGCATCTCTCCAACACCCCACAGCGCAGGGGATTTGGGAACCTGTCAGACTGGCCCACCCTGATGCCTCAGGGGATGGGCGCAGATGCTGTTCCTTGGCTTCCTGCAGTTACATTTTTTCCAGTATTTCAGAAATGTTATTTGTGGGTACTGTGTGTGTGTGTGTGTGTGTGTGTGTGTGTGTGTGTGTGTGTGTGTGTGTGTGTGTGTTTCATGGTTCTGACTGGGATAAAAGATGACCATTAATTATTAGCAATACATTTACTGATCATATAAGTTTTTGTTAAGGTGTAACACAGGTTGGGTGCTTTTAAAAGTGTAATTATTTAAGTAAGTTTTCCAAACAAAGCTAAATAAAATCTAAAAACGAGCTTTTCTAGAGGTTTTTCAGGTAGACTGGGAAGATAGGATACATTTGGACAAAGAACTTTGGTGGAAGAGAGTTTTGAAAAATGATATTATCTGAACTATCATATGCTAATATCTCTGTGCCCATCACTGCTGCATAGCTGATTTGGTTTTAAGTCATGTTTTTTATAGCAACAATTTACATGGGTTTACCTAAATTTGCATTTATTCAACAGTGACATCCAGTGGCACATTTAAAATTCTAAGTCTTACCAACACAAATCTTGTTGAATTTTAAAATGAGTTTTAAGTGCTGTGTAAAAATACTGACTCAGGAAGGATAGCCTTACTTGATTCACAGTCACAGTTCTCTTTCCTATATATGGTCTTCATAAATTTTGCTATCAGTGCCTCAAATTGAGCTGCTCCTCAAATCAGGTGTTTGATTGGCTGCTGACTGGAGCAGGGAGGGTGGCAAAAGGGAGCCAGAGGGTGTGAGCGACATGCCAGCGTGCCCAGGTGCAGTCTGTGGGGCGTCTCCCCTGTACAGGGGCAAGTACATCCACATCCCATCCCATCAAGTCAGCACCGAGCAGCCCATGGAGGCTGGAATTGCCATCTTCTACTGCTGAGGTATGTGAGGCTTAGCAGTGAGGTAACCTCACCCAACAGTACACAGCCAGCAAGATGTAAATGCGAAATTCAGCAGTACAGTGTACACCCAAGGCCAAAGTCCATGGAGATTTTCTTTCCTTCCTTGAATTAGGACCACGATTAATGCCCTTTGTCCTCCATGTCAAGGGCAGAGTTTGAAGAAAATGCATACGATTTAGAAGATTCAATGTGGAATTTATATGATTATGTCAATGCCAAACTTAGTGCAAAGCTTAGCATTTTTGTGCACAAAAAGTGCTAGTTAACTAAATCTGGATTTCCATCATATTAACAACTCAAGAAAGAAATGTTAGCTATTCTTACTTCTGATGTTAAGTGCACCTCATTTAAGACAGCTGGGGTATTATATTACACTTCCACTCCTCTGTGAGTCTTTTCTTAGGGACACATTTCTTCCTCCTAAATACCTGTATCTCTTCACACCTACAAGAACCACCTTAGTTCCAGGCACATCACTTCTTAAAGGGAAAATAGTAGAGACCCTGGATCCTCCCTTTGCTCTGTGCCCTTGGGCAGCTCATTTATCCTTTCCTTGCCTTAGACCCCAGCAGTAGAATGGAGATGCTTATGGTGGGGATTATACAATAAGGTTAGCACAATAAATGTTAGTTTTTACTATTGTCATTATTTTAACGCCACCATCATCACCGCAAGAGCTCACAAGAGCTATAAAACTTTATCTATAATATCTATCTCCTTGATTAGATTTCTAGGATTCCCATAGTTTCTTAGCCAGGGTGGTTGCAACTACTGATAGTAAATTTAGAATCTTTCCTTATTCATCAATCTGCCAAAAGAGGTAGCAATCAGATCTTAAAATGGTTGAGTGGCAGCATACTTTACTGGTTGAGGGCACGTACCTGAGAGAGTCAGTACCGTCATATCTGACGTTGACCGTGGGAGAGTGATGTAACAGCTGTAAGTCTCCATTTCTTCATCTGCAAACTGGAGACTAATGTTGACCTCATAGTGTGGTTGTGGACATTTAACAAAGCATTCAAGCAAGACGTGTATATATGCTTGGTAATTTATCAACTGTTGTTATCATCATTACTATTGTAGATGTTTGGACTCACATGGAGGTATTTATTTTATTTTTATTGACTTTAATATATGAACTTTTTGTATTGAAGTATCTTTGATATACAATCTTATGTTGGTTTCAGATCCATAACATAGTAGTTCAACATTTACTCATATTTTATCAAATCCTTGCCCCCACCAGTGCAGTCACTGTCTGTCAACATAGTAAATTGTTACAGAATCATTCATTGTTTCCTCCATGCTGTACTGCCATCCCATTGACCAACCTATATTGTGATTAAGAATTACTGTGCCCCTCAATCCCCTTCCCCCTCCCCTCTATCCTCTCCATCCTCTCTCCTTTGGTAACCACTAAGTCCCTCTCAGTGTCTATGAGTCTACTGTTATTTTGTTTCTTCTGTTTTGCTTTGTTTTTATACAAGGCATAAAACCTTGTATATTTATTTTTATTTATTTATTTTATTTATTTATTTTTATAATGTTTCCTTGCTTTCTAGTTTTTTGAGAAAGTTGAGGAATCGGGTCTGGAGTCTGAAGGAATTTTCCGACTTTCAGGATGTACTGCCAAGGTCAAGGTACCAAACGCTTTCTCTCTTCCAGTTTGAACCCTTAAGCTGGCCAGACCCCGCCACACAAGCCTCAGGTATTGAGTCCTGTGTTGTTTTCAATACTATTACTTGGCCCTCACTAGTATTCCTTACTAGTACTACAGTACTTATTCCCTGATCCTGAGTTGTTTATCCTGTTAAATTAAAACAACAATAATAAAACCACCCACAACCAAAGAACACATCAATCCACCATCAAAAACTGCTGCTCATCTTTAGTTTGGAGAAGTTGGAATGTCCCATCATTATTATTTGGGTCGAACCCTTTAGTTTGCTGTGTTCTCTCAGTCATGGGATTCATTAAGCCAATATTATATGAACCCTTATGTTCACTATCAGTTGCTCTAACCTTGGAAATACTCTTTGGCTCTCCTTTTAATGAATGTCCTTATAAGAATGTAGGAGTGGCCACTAGAATAGTCACTCAGCATTTCTAAAATCCAACTCCATGTAAGGTCATGTTGGTTATATATGACCACCCATGCAATGTGAATCCTTTTACTCTGCTTTCTTACTTCAGTAAAAGGAAGAATCATTAGAAAAGAAAAGCTTTTCTCATAAATTCCCAGTCAGATATGGTGGGCATATGGTGCGCATACATGATGAAGCATTCCTCCCTGCTCCCAGCGGACATGGAAACCTGAGCAGTTCCAAATGATGAGCCCTTAAGAAAAAAAAAAGTCTCAGGGTGAGGGGAAAATGAAGTTGGTTGCATTTAGAACTATTAAAAGGAAACGTGGAGAGGTGGAAAGCATGTCTATATTAATTCATCTCAGTAAATGTTTTGGGAAATTATAATTGTATCAGAAGTCCCAGAGTTTTTATATGGAAATATGATGAGATGTTTTCTAAGTACAAATGGAGAATAAATAGGCTGACTCTATTGGAAGCTCTGGAAAGCAGATGCTGGGACCCAGTTAGGAGCAGAAAAGGAGTACTGGGGGTAGAGCTCTTGAAGGATGAAGAAGGGGAAGCAGGAGTCAGGCTGAGCCTGAGAAAGAGGTCTGAGAGTTGGGCAAGGGTTGCAGCCTGCAGAGCCTCCTCCCAGCCAGGGCTGGGACTTGAGGAAGAAGGGGCTAACATCTGGGGAGTCAGCTGCCTGGGTTTTGTGCAGTTATTGTTTGAAGGGAGGTCTGAGAGGGGCCCCACACTCCTCCAGTGGCAGAAGGGGGCAGGGCTTTGGGTGCTGTGACTACCCTGGGAACAGAGATGCTCAAGTGCTGGTACAAGTCCCTGAAAGGCAGGAGAATTCCTAATGGCTCCTTCAGGTTTATGTTTCCTAAATTGAGTCTGCTTTTTGTCTCAGGTTCTCAAAGATATGGTTGTATATATATTCTAATGTGAGGATGAAAGCTAGCACTAATTTTGGTTAAATCTGTTGTCAGAGAACCAAAAGGAAGGGTCAGGAAGACACATTTCCTGAACAGAATTAGACTCCATCCCTTTAAGCCTTCCTCCATAACTGAGAAACTGAATTTGCACATTTTATTCCTGGCTTCAATGTGTGTCTGTGTGTGTAAAGCATAATGAAGATGATTTAAAATGTTCTTTTTCAAAACAATAGAAAGAAAACATTACATAATATTCTATGTATGCATAAAGTTTAATATCATGGCAGAAGTTATTTTTCATTAGCTAGTATTTGGCTTGAAAATGCTTATTGAAGGCTAATAATTCCTTATAGGCACATGCCTTCATGAACCACATTTAGGTAAAAGTCCCTTTTCTTCCCTAATGTACTTCATTTATTTTCAGCCTGTTTATTCTATCTCTTGCTAGTCTGAAAAAATGCAATCCAGATGTTTTCATGGTTTGAGCTCCAGGAAAACCACTGTGAAAGAAATCTGGGCCAGTGAGCAGAAACGGGAATATTTCTGTTAGAAAGACATTATAACTTGATATATTAAAGGGATCTCTATTTTTCTCCTTTGTTCAAACTTTAAGCTACTTTATTTATTTATTTACTTGTAATTTCATCTGTTAGGCTATTTTTTTAGGATGTGCTTGGACAAAGTTAAAAAAAAAACCATTGTAATTATCTTCAAATTGTGCCAAGTGGATGACACTAACACTAATGTATCATTATGAACAATCCAGACCAGGTTTGTGCTTTCAAGGCCTGGTAAGACTAATGCAACACAGCCCTGAGCGGAGGCAGCTAGTTTTAGCCACACAGGGCTTACAACATTCCTGTACTTGAGGCTGCAGATCATTTGGAACCAATTTAATACTTTGGTGTTTCCAATGATTTTCTTTTCCAAAAATGACAGAAATTTGAGCCAAACACCGGGGAATATATTTTATAGAAGAAGGCAGACTGTTTGACATGCAAGGTTTTCTCTTTTGACTAGTTTCAATTATTCTGAGGCTGCTGTAAATGTTTCGTGATTATGTTACCTGGTCTGCTGGTTTCCTTTTCTGAACGGGTGTTTGAAGTGAAAGGCAGGTCATTTGCATTTTATAAAACCATCTCAGAAATGAAAGTTTGTAGATGTGCTCAGAGCAGATTTAAGGACATGGCTTCTACTCTTGCCTAGTGTTCTCCTTAACATTGGACAGAAAACATGACTTCTTTAATCTTTAAATGCTTCCTGTCCATGGCAAGGTAAATTCAACACTTGGTTTATATGGTTCACGTTTAGGGCCACCACCGAAGTATCAGCTCTGCCCCTACCTTCTAGTCTGCTCTGGTCAGAACCGAAAACGGACATTCTTCCTCTCAGTGTTATTTAATACTGGCCATCCAGAAAGTGGAAGTGATCTGATTACCCAAATACCCACACCACATATGCCTGGATTTCCCCTAGTAACACTACTGGAAGTCATACTCGACCAACCAGAGCAGGGTGGGTGAGCAGCCAGCCTTGACTGAGTGCTCACCAGTGGGACGGGCCCTGCCCTCTGACCTTTACATCGTATTTTCTGACTTAATCTCTGTGAGGTCATTTTAAGATCGTTGTGACACAGTGAAAAACTTGAGGCACAGGTCACGTAACTAGTCAGCTGTGGAGCTGGGATAAAAACCTGAAGGATCTGCTTATAGGACCTGCTATTGACCCTGGAGCCACAGTGCCTCTTAAGTGACAGGGAACCATTGACAAGTTAGAATGAAGGTCACGTTCTGTTTCAGATAGTTTCCTACAGCAGAGGTATGTTGGAAATGAATTTGAATTATTCTGCCCTTGCTGGTGCTTCCTGCCCACTTGAGAACAGTCTCTCCCTTGCTTCACAGCAGTGACATCAGGCAGCCATGGAAGCCATTTGCTTCTCCTCCTCTTTCCTATAACAGCGCCTCTGCCTGCCTGTGACTCCAGCTAACACTCCGAAAATTGTCTTGGACTCTTATTTCTCCCTGTGATTCTCATAGTTAATCCATCACTGACTCTTGAGAGTTTTCTCTTTTAGGCATTTCTTGAATGTCACCTCTCCTGCTGTCTTACACCAGCTTATGCCTGTTAGTCTGGTTATGCAGAAATGGTGCCGTGGCCCAATTGCTTCCCTTTAGCCTGCTTCCCAACCAGCGCTGAGCTCCAAACTCCACCAAATCACTTTTCCAACTGGCTGTCAGAAAAGATAAATCTCACCTTGTCTTTCTCTTGCTTGGACATGTTCCATATTGCCTCACTGCCTACAGAATGCAGTCTGGTCCCCTTAGGGTTGGCTGTGCTCTGTTTCCCCATCCCCGGTTCCTCCCTCCTCTCCTCCTTGCCCACAATGTTCCAGCAACACTGCACTAGTTAGAGTTCTGCAGAATCACTGGATCTGCTTGCATCTGTGTCACTGCTTGCACGGTTTCTTCTGTCCAGGGCGCCCTTCTGTGTCTTCTTCCCCTGGCAAGCTCCTTACCAGTCTTCAGGACTTGGCCCCAGCAGAGTCTGATATTCCTTGTTCATGGTGGCGTATCTCACAGCATAAAACTTCTTTTTATAGCATTTACCACCTTGCATTAGCCTTATGAGTTCATGAAGTAGTTGCATTCACTGGACTACGAGATGCCTACGAGCAAAGAATGGATATCTTGCATCCTTCTCCTCCAGAGCCTAGTCTATGGTCTGTCTCTTATTCTACAAGGGCTTTATATGTATGCTTCAGTGCTCTGCAAAGTGTACTTGTTAGCAAAGGATTGCTTGATTAGTTGTATTATTCCTATTAAATTGAGAGCTTCTCAAGGACAAGAAGAAAAAGCTCTCCTTTTGATGTCATCAGTAGGAGCTAATGGGTGGCTTGGAATCATGTCTGTTTCTCTGTAAGAGATGGGTCCTGCCAGGGTGTCCTGTTTTGCAGGCCCCAGGTGCCAAGAGAGCACTGATGTCTGGGCTGGTTAATAAACTGCAACTTGGGAGGAAAAAATCAGATGTACAAACTAACTGTGGCTGTGCACATTTAAGCCTGGAAAACAGGCTTCTCATGGGAATGGAGCAGAGTCCTAAAAGAAAGTGAGGGTATTCCAAGTTATCTTGCTAAGTATCCTTTTTAGAATGGTTAACGTCAGTTGGGAAACTGACTATAACTGCCTATTATTAATAGGCAAACTCTGTACTTCAAAGGAGTAATAGAAGATTAGTTTGATTCTGAAAACTAAATTTGGAGAATGGTGGCACTGATAGCCAAATGAGTTGATAATGTAAAATGTATAACCCAAGTAGAACTGATGGAGGCTTAGTCATCTTTCTGAAGTATTTATACAGTGTTCCAAACCTTATTAAGGATTGGGCAAGCATGCAAACATGTGGAAGACATGTGTACGTCTTGGCATAAAACTTTGCTGTAACTGCTCCAGGAAGATGTCATTGGTCTGCATGTTGCAATGAGGTCAGAGTTCCTTTATTGGGATCTTTCTCATTCTGTATGTGAGCTAGCTGAGAAACATATATTCTTGATTTAATTTAGAAATACAGAACAGGATGAGAGAAGGAAGGGATTATGAAAAAAAAGGGAAATGGAGGCTTTGTCAAAATCTAGCTGTGCATTTATCATGTGGGGATAGGTGGTATTCTGCCAAAACCACAGAAATGAAATGAGGATCTGAGTAAAGAATTTTATAGTTGTGTAGAATTAGCAAATTATTTCAAGATTAACATCATTCCTAAGTGATTTAGGGAAAACTCATTTCAGAAATAGCTATTTCAGTTACTTAATCATGTTGAGTTAGGCTTTGTAGATACTGGCTTTCCAATCTATTTATAAAAAGAGTGTACATGACAGTTTTCAAAGGGGTAACGGGGCTCAGGTAGTGACAACTCATTGAATATTTACTGTTTTCCTTCATTTTCAGCAATACCGTGAAGAACTGGATGCCAAGTTTAATGCTGATAAATTTAAGTGGGACAGAATGTGCCATAGAGAAGCTGCAGTAATGCTGAAAGCATTTTTCAGAGAACTCCCCACCTCTCTCTTCCCTGTGGAATATATACCTGCCTTCATCACCCTAATGGAAAGTAGGTGGAGGAAAAGGGAATGGACTAAGATATAAGGTCAATAAAGTAAAACAGAGCAAAGGAAAGATGCATTATCAAACGTGGTCATAAATGTACAGATGTGCAGTTCCCTGGCAGTGCTTGGTAAAATATTGAATTTAATGATAAACAGTCATCTCTTTACATATTTATATATCCAAGTCTGGATGGTATGATTTAGAGGGTTATTTAATCATTAAAAGGCAGAGAGAATTGCAGAAAGACCAGGCTCTTGAGATTTGAATTCCTGTTCAACCCTCTGTTATCCGTGTGATAAACCCTTCTGAGCTTCATTGCTGCACCTGTAAATTAAAGATAATGATTACTGGTCAGAGTCTTTGTGGTATTGAATGAAGACATCCAGAGTAGGGCCTGGTGTGTAATAGTCTCTCAACAAATGTAAGATCTCTCTCTTTGCATCTGAGGCCCTGGGTCTGATGATGCAGCACACAATAAATGCCGCACAGAAGTTGCTTTGTCTCTGAAAATATCAATACCACATAGTGTCTCAGAAAATTACAAGGTTACATAGATTAGACCTTAAGTGAGGTGCTTGGATAAAAGCATAGAAAATGGAAAGTGTGCATTGTATTGATAGTGTGAAAATAATTTGCCATTATTTCAACCTAAGGGCTGAGTATTGTGCAGGGTGTGATGAGAGGAATTTTATAAAGTGGAATAAGGGTACATAGTGGGGTTTTGACTGTTAACCTAAGGAATTCAGAGATCACAAGCCTAAATATGCACAAGGATGTTAAGTAAATGGTGATTCTACATGGACAGAAAAGGGCCATGGCCAATTTGAGAGGACACAGTCTATGTAAATATGTTGCCCACTGCTCAGCTCTAGATAATTGTTACCATGCAGGTGTGGGAGCCAAAATGAAGCTTTAATGAGAATACTTTTAGCTTGAAAATATCAACCAGAAATCCTAATTTTGAAACATTATAGGAGCCAAAAAAGTGATATCTGTATTTGCCAACTTACAACATTCTGCAGGTTGACCAGAACTATGAAATCCTTAAAACGGAAGAAAGTAGTAGATGCTAAGTTGCATGGCAAAATTTGTCCTAAAAATTAAGAGATTCCAAATCTTTAAAATTTTTAACTAAACCTGATTCATAAAACAATCCTTCATGTCTTCAGAAAAGAGAACATGTAGGGAAGATAGTCCTTTTTAAGGTTTAATTCACTTGCCATCTATGACCAGTGTCTCTTTTCTTTGTAAGATGTAGTGTTTTTGTTTTATGAGAGAAACTTGCAAATAGAGAATTCTTTTTTAAATTTAAGATAATATATAATTTTTTCCACTCTAGAAATTCCAGTTGGTAGTTTTTAAGTATATTGTTTATCTGCTGAGATGGCCTATCTTTTCATTCATTATAAGCATATTTTCCTTAATACCACTGAACACAGTTACGATAACTGCTCCACAGTCCTTGTCTGCTAGTTCCAACATCTGGGTCATCTCAGGATTGGTCTCTGTTGATAGTCTTTTCCCTTAAGAATAGGTCACTTTTATATGTCAAGTAAGTTTGAATTATATCCTGAACATTGTGAATATTGTGTTTTGGAGACTGCATTCTGTAATATTTCTCCAAAGAGAAGGCTTTTTTGTTTTGTTTTGGTCTGTGTTTGTATTTAAGCAGACAGTTTGGTTGAACTCAAATTTTCAGTGGTCTTTGGGCAACAGCTCACCCCTCAGTTCTGTTTTTGAATCCTTACTTGTGCTACTGCACACATGCCTGAGTCAGCCAAAATTCAGGTGGATCTTACAGCAGAATCAGGGCCTTTCCCCATAAATTCCCTATGATTGTGATCATCAGAAACCCCATCCTCTAGCTGTTCAGGATGGAAAGACGGGTTGTTTTCTTTTTTGGGGTTTCAGCCACCTCATGCAGCACCAACTGTGACCTGACCTCAGACTAAACACCAGAAAAATGGGACACTCTCCCTATGCCATTCCCTCATTCCAAGTGTCCCTTCTCCTCCTAAATGTGCCTGCATTTGTTCATTCTCCCCGGCCTCAGGAGAGTTTATAGTTATCTTCAAAAGGATTGATCAGAAAGGAGCGCACTCAGCCATACCAGAAGAACCCCTCCCTGTAAGTTGTAAGTCCAAAAAACACAGTATTTTCTGTAAAGTGTGTGCTCTTGACAAGTGGTTGAAGAAGTACTAGCTTCACCTTGATCTGTGGTGTCCAAACAACCTAGTGCTACAGAGGATGGTGTTTGGTTGGTATTATGAATTTAGGTAAGGAGGAGTCCCACCTCTGACCTGCTGACAGAACCACATGTAAGAAAGGCCAACACAACATTTAGCTTTCCTTTAACCGCACTGTTTCCATCTGACTGCAGCCAGTGTACTTCACTGAAGGGAGAAAATCTCAAAAGTACGCTGAAAAGGTTCACAAAGGAGTGCACATTTCTTCATACAACTTTGAAAGTGAAAAATACTATATTACAATGATTGATTGATACCTGCCAGTCCTGCAGGAAACCCAGAGTTCTGGGCTGCTAGCAGCAAGGAAAAGGGCCTTTTTCCACCTAGAGTAAAGTGCTAGTTGTAATGAGATTTCCTGACAGGAAGAATTGTGGACATACGCGTGTGTGTGTTTAAGCTGCCCAGTTTGGGGAATGTGGAATCTTAGCATAATTACTTTCTCTTTTGTTTTCACACTTGGCCACCAAATTGTTCACAAAATTAAAAGACTAAATAATTTATCCATCCAACCTTAGATGCTTTTCATAGAAAGTGTAATAATTTTCTGGGAAAATAATACCCTTAGGGAAAAAAATGCACTAAGTGAATTAACTATGAAACTATTAACTACAAAACAGCATATGACCAAGTAAATGGCCAAAGTAAAATGAAAATGGATCATTTGCCAGTTTAGATTTTTAATCTTAAAGGGAACTTTGTAATTTCTCTGGAATTGATGGAAATACAGAGCCCGCATCAGCATCTCTTGTTCTCCCCGCCACAGGTTCTTGGATTGCACTGGAAGATTATGGACAGTCCTGAGCCTATAGTTAATGCATTAAAATAATGTCTTGCTTGTCCATAAGTACTCTGTACCGAGATGTGCTCTCGCTAGTTCCTGGTATCCAGGCAAACTCACATCAGTGTGCATCAGCCACCTCCAAAAACATCCTGAACCTGTGTCATTTCTGTGTACAAATTTGACATTAATTTCTGAAAATCCACATGGGGATTGTACTGAGATAATATGATACAATCCTATAAATACTCCTCGCATCTGTCCCTTTGTTACATAGTTATATGCATTAGTCATCTACTCCTAACTCAGGTGCACACTGCCAGTAAGCTAGTAGCTGGTCACAAGAGTGTTCCATCTACTAAAAGCTAAGTAACTTTACAGCAGGTGACTGCCTTTCATCCATTGAATATCGTAGATTTTCCTTCAACCCAAGAACTCCCCAGGAATTCCAGGAAATAATGCTTCCCTTCAGGCACTCCCCACCAGGAGACCATTGTGGGGAGAATACAGAGAGACAAAGCAAAGCCTGGATGCTCTGCTAATACTCTACATTTTCAGCCCAGCTGGTTGTGGATTATCCAGATGTGAATGGAATCCCTAAAATCCGCTCCCTAAAATGGGGAAAGAGCCAGCATTAAGAACACAAGTATTAATGCCAACTCTCTGGCGCCATCTTCTGTCATTGTTAAGGAAAAAATTCTCAGTCTCCAAGATCCAACTATAGTCACCTTCCCTAAATGTCCATTTAAGATCTAGAATAGGTGTCATTAATCAAAAGCAAACACAGAGGTAACTGTGTGCAGATACTGATATAAACACTATACACATAACTCATTCAGTCTTTATAGCATCCCAGTGAGGTAGGTATGATGTCTACTTATATTTTACAGGCGGTAAAATAATAGCAGTGAGGAGTTAAATAGCCTGCCCAAGGTCACTCAGTAACTAAGTAGTAGAAGCAGGATTTGAACCTGCTCCCAGAATCTATGCTAATATTAATTATATATTACTGCTTCATTATATGGAAGCAAGATTTATTTTCTCTTTGAATTGAGCTTCAAGCCTTCTGTTTATAGCAAAAAAGTAAAGCAAAGTCTGTGAAAGTACTTCGAAAAGAGAAATGATATCAAATCCAGAATTATTTTAAGGCTCTCCTTGGCTACCTGCCTTTACAATGGTATTGTGGGACCTGAAGGAAGAGCTTGTAGACAGTCCCCTGTCCAAACGCACACAAAACCTGAGTCTTTACCCCTGAAAAGCTGGCAGGAGCCCTCCTCTGCCACCAGATGTTAGCAAGAAATGATGTCAGAATGCATCACTGTTGTTGAAAATGTGTGGTTATTTCTGTTTTATTGTTAGGAGGGCCTCACATCAAAGTACAATTTCAAGCCTTACACCTCATGGTCATGGCACTGCCTGATGCCAACAGGGACACAGCCCAGGTATGTTGTATCAGCCTCATGGTCTGTCTCAGCTCTTATGGGTCAGAGGAAATGGCTCAGGTGGAAGTAAAAACCAGAACGCAACTTACTAAGCCAGCTGGTGTGCTGTCAGCCTGTCGCCTTCCCACAGCCCCACTGCTTTTCTCCTGAAGACAGGAAAGAATGTAAATCCTAGAACCTTCTTTGAACATTTTAATTTCATTCATTCGATCTATTGAGAGATACTGAATGTCCACCAAGTGCCAGGCACTGGGTTAGGGTTAGCCGTAGGAGAGGCAAAGATGGAAGACTTAAATGGAATAATGTCACAAGTCACATTATTAATGTCACATTATGTAAGTTGCAGAATATAAAGCTGTGTAATTGTTGATCCTCAGCTGCTCATATCCATCTAGTGGCAAAAGATCTGAAGAGTTTCTCTGGGGAGGAAATTTGAAATCTTTCAGTTCAATGGAACTTTTACAATGTTCATATCTTACAATTTATGAAGGCAATTCAATTTAAATATTCCTAGAATTTCAGAATTTTAGAGATCACCTGATAGAATCTTGTCATTTAACAGATAAGGAAAATCAAGCTCAGAAAAGTGACTTGTCCATTAACATATGATAGAACTTTGATAGAATAATATTCCATAGTTCTTCTCCCAAACTCTACTTCCTTTGAATTACTCCTATTTCAAAGTAATTTCTTTGCTACAAGTTGGCAGAAATCAGTTTCTCTTGCTTGATAATGATTCTGTACACAATAGGAAATGTGTTACAAGTACAACAGATGTTTGGAATCTTCAAAAATCAGGGAAAAGATGAGTTGGAAAGAGCCCTTAATTTCAGAGGCCAGTAAGCCAAGATGATTTTTAGTGCAAGCTCTTACCAGTGATTTCAGTGTGATGATGACCTTTCCTCTTAACATAGTATAAATATCTGTGTCAATTATATCATATCCTCAGCTCAAAGATGGGGATTGGCTATGGCATAAGAACATCTGTTCCTAATATAATCTAGCAATTTTTCAAAAGCTGAAAATTTATTAGTTTTCTTTTGGCATTGAGTAAACAGTGCTCTTTTACCAAAAAAAAAAAAGGTATCTGGTGTCAGCTATCTGGGAAAATGTCATCTACCCTTTCATGCAATTGAGGATGCAGCAATTATCCAATAATTGAATGCATGTTTAACGATATCCTCAAAAACATTATGGGACTAATGAAGATGGTACACACACACAAATGTTTTTCCTTCTACATTGTGACTGGAATTAAGATTGAGGCTAGTGTGGTGCAGAGATTAAGAGATCTGGCTTAAGAATCAGGTTCCTCTGTTCAGATCTTGGCTTTGCCACTTGAACTGATGCTGGACAAATCTACTTCATCCTTCTCTGCCTTAGCATCACCTGTAAAACAATATTAATTATAGTACCTACTACACAGAGTTTGGAATGATGATACAATCCATGGATTTATAAAAAGTACTAAGAATAATGCCTGGCTCACAATCAATCCTTAAATAAATATTAACTGATTATTGCGAGGTGCTGTCCACCTTCTCTTTACAAATACTATAGCAGAATTCAAACTTGGCCAGCTGAAAAGCATCTCCCTTTTAGGGTTTCAGCCCTCTTGGCAAATTTCAAGTTCTGCTAAGTGTCTAAACTTGGGGGCGTGGGCTGGCTTGAGGAACATGAGCAGGCTGGGATGTCACTACAGCTGTTCTCCTGTCTTCCCATGGTCCTCAGTGGGCAGCTGTCATGCATTTAAGAGGTCTCACTGTGTTGCTAGGACTTGATGGATGTCCTGTGCTGTATGTGAGTGTTGGCAGCTTGCAGACTGAGCCACTGTGCAGTCTCCATGTTCGTGAGCACAGACTTGCAGGGGTCATTGTCCATGTTCTCCTCCAGGACCAAGGAATTCATCTTGATATTCCTTTCGAGCAAGCTGTACAGACGGATGAATCCCTTCCTGAGCTGCTCACTAAAGATGAGTATTTGCTCAAAGAGGAATGTGGGCCTCTCTTTGGTCCAGACTGCATGCCTGCATCCAGCTTGATCACATAGAGCATGTCCTGCTGCAACAGTATCTTGAAAAGGAAGCCTAGGAAATGGGAGAAAATATTTGCCAATCATGTATTAGGTAAATGGCTAATATCCAAAATATATAAAGAAGTTGTACAACTCAACAGCAAACATACAATGTGATGAAAAAATGGTCAGAGAAACTAGACATTTTTCCAAAGAAAACATCCAAATGGTCAAGAGTATGTGAAAAGGTGCTTAACATCACTAATGACCAGGGAAATGCAAATCAAAACTACAGTGCTTATCACCTTGTATCAGTTAGAATGGCTGACATCCAGAAGACAAGAGATAACAAGTGTTGGTGAGGATGTGAAGAAAGGGGAACTCTGGTACACTGTCCATTAGGATGTTAATGGGTGCAGCCACTATGGAAAATAGTATGGAGATTCCTCAGAAAATTAAAAGTAGAACTACTTTATGTCCCAGCCATTCCACTTCTGGATATACACCAGTGGAAATGAAAACAGGATATCAAAGAGATACACACACACCCATGTTTATTGTAGCATTATTCACAGTAGCCAAGATATGAGAACAACCAAAGTGCCTGTCAGTGGATTAAGATGTGGTCTGTACAATGGAATATTATTCAGCCACAAGAAAGGAGGAAATCCTGCCACATACAACAGCAAGGGTGGACCTTGAAAACATGCTGAGTGAGATAAGTGAGACAAACAAAAGCAAATAACATATGCTATCACTTATTTGTAGCATCTAAAAAAGCCAGATTCATAAAAATGCAGTAAAATGATGGTTGCCGAGGGCTGGGGCCTGGGGGAGGAGTGGAGATGTTTCTTAAGTGTACAAACTTGCAACTAGTGTAATCAAGTAAGTCCTGGAGATCTGATACACAGTATAGTGAATTTAGACAACAATGTAGTAATCATCATACTTCCTAAGAAACTAGATCCTAATTATTCCCACCACAAAAAAATAATTATGTGATGTGACAGAGGTCTATCACTACAATGACAATCATTACAATATATAAATGTGATGAATCAACATGTTGTAGACTTTAAGTTTACCCAATGTGTTTTGTCAAATATATTTCAGTAAAAAAGGTTGGCTTACTTTCACCTGTCAATCACATAGCAGTGTCTGGCTCATGATAGATGCTTAACTATAAGTAGCACAAACATCTCTCTCCAGCCAAATTTCTTTGCTTCTTCAATTGGATAGCAAGGAATTTATCAGAAAATTTACCTTAATTAAATTCAAATTCCCCAAAAAAAGTTTCAGGATTTTTAAAAAATGGTTCACAAAGAACAGAAAACAGGAGCCAGTTGATGGAGAAGGGAAGAAAAAGCTCAGGCTAGGAGCTGAGAGGGTGGTGTTGGCCCTGGACCGCTTTCCCTTCCAAACTGGATTTTGCTTTGAGACAATTTTTGTGGTGGTGAATAGGCGGTAGTTTCTAGGGAGAAGCAGATGTTTCCTGAAAGCCAAAGCAGATGATGGGGAAGACGCTAAATACAGAGGTCCGACAGGAAAGACTCACTGTGGGGCGGGGCTGGTGGGCCACACCCTGGGGCCTGAGATAGTGCTGCACCACAAAGAGCAAGGCCAGGCAGCAGGCAGCCAGAGTGCTTAGGATGCTCGTGTATTTCTAGAATCTGATCTCCCACATGGTGGCCAGGGGCAAGGGTGACCAGTGCAGAGAGCAGGTCGGGGTGAAGCTCTGGCCGGTGTACAGGGCTGCAGAGCTGGGGGAGCATGGGTAAGGAGGAAGTCACATAGCTTCTGCACCAGGGCCTTGGTACCCCTGAGGAAGGCCACAGAGATAATGAGCAGGCTGATGATAAAGCAGGCCTAGTACAGTTTCTTGATGGGGCGGCTGCACAGCCCTCCCACCACACCCTGCTAGGTGGCCTCCCCAGCCCGCTGGTCAAGAAGACCAAGGAGACCAGCTCCGAATGGAAGCCAGGGCCACTCACCCACCTTGTGGAAGGCCCAGGGGAGGCTGAGCAGACCAGCACCCATTGCAGATTTCAGGAGCGTGAAGACGGCTCCCAGTAGGGACAGACAGGCTGGCAGCCGTAGGGCAGGCTCCATTGAAAGGCTGAGCTGGGTACAGGGCGCCCCCAGATCTCCACTCTCTCCCTTTCCTGCATTTCTTCCTTCCAGACCTGAACGGGAAGACTTTCAGTACAGGAGTGAACACAAAACCACTGAATTACAGGAAACCACGGTGGCGATTTTAAAATGCCAGAGCTTTAGAGAAAAAAGCTAGCTCTAGCTTCCCTTTGGCTTGGCTTCTCCATCAGCCTGGGGTAACTTCTTTCCAAAGCATTGTCTCAGCTCCATCAAGTAGGTAAAGTGAGCCTTTTGCATACACACACACACGTACAACCCGTGAACACACATCTCAGCTGGAGAAAATGAGATGGGGTGGGCCTTCCAGTGCCTGAGAGACATGAGTGTAAAACTATCAGGAGATGGAAATTCCTTTCTAAAGTTTCTCTGTAAAATGGGTTGGGGAAAACTCTTGCGATGTGATTTTGCCTTTAAATACAGTAGTGTACTTTATACGTGGGATTGTGGTCTTTTATCAAGACTGTGGAAATAAATGTTCTGGGAATTTTTTTTTTAGCCAAACTTTTATTAAGTTTTCTCAAAAAAAATTTTGTTTTTCCAATGCTGAGAACAGCTGCATGTAAGCATTTCCTTTTGGTCCACTGAAGATGCCAAAATGAGAATCAATTAAAAAATGACACTAAAAAAGTAAAAGTTTTAAATACTTCAGTTGAGTTTACATTTGGACTAGGAATAAGGTACTTGCGTTATCTTAAATAGGTTTTCCTTCCCCAAAGAAACAGTTTTCAATAGTAATGCTTTAAATTAAGGAAGTTTTTAGAACTACTTTTCTTTCACAATAAAACTGCATATCGTGTTTATTTGAGCTGCGGTGTTTTCTCTTCCTAGATTACCACTTAATTTTAATCTGTCAAATTTGTTTAGGACAAAAGAAAGTAAGAAAGTACAAACTATTATTTATATAAATAACAGTATAATAAACCCCATAGAAATGGAGCTACTTTCATGAGCCAGAGAACTGAATAAAACGGTTCCCATTTCTCGTAGCACGTTTCAGCAATCAAAGGGGAAATGTGACACACTTAGCCATTCTGTAGTCCTGCAGTTTTCCAGAGGCACAGTGAATGGGTATAGAAATGAGTGATAGTAACCAGTGGTGCCTTCTGAAGGTTGACAGTAGTGTCACACAATGCTTTTTCTTGTTAGGCTCTCATGACATTCTTCAATAAAGTGATTGCCAACGAATCAAAAAACCGAATGAGTGTATGGAACATTTCTACTGTAATGGCACCAAACCTTTTCTTCAGCAGAAGCAAACATTCTGATTATGAAGAATTACTGTTAGCCAACACCGCAGCCCACATCATCCGCCTGATGCTTAAGTACCAGAAAATTTTGTGGAAGGTGAGTAATGGTGTGGTGACTGTGTGGTCACTCCAGAGGTCCGCTGGGGCCCGGGAAGTGTCAGGGCCCCCGGAACAAGCAGCCCCTCAGTCACAAGGAGGATGTGTGAGAAGACATTCTTTAAGGGCTGCTTCTGAACATGTTTTTCCTCTTAAACAGGAATCCTAACCGTTTTCTCTAATCTTGATGAGGGCAAATGCCATCATTCCTGGTTCCAGGATGCTGAGTGGCTGGAAGGAGTTAGCATATCTGAAGGCAACTTCTACCAGGCAGGTTGAATTCGAGTGTTTTCCTTCTAGTCAAGCTATGTTTCTTCTCCAGGTTCCATCTTTCTTAATTACTCAAGTCAGACGAATGAATGAAGCCACCATGTTGTTAAAGAAACAGCTGCCAAGTGTCAAAAAGCTGCTCAGGAGGAAAACCATAGAGCGAGAGGTAATGACAGCAAACGGAGGCGGGAATAGTGTTGCTTTCTCAAAGCGCAGCACAGAGGAGTTTGTGATTTAGAACTGAAACTTCATATCCTCACGAAGTATCAGTCTTGTGATTATAAACACTGTGGAAATTTTATCCATAGCAGAGTAGGGTGGTCTTTCCTTTTTGTCGAATTATGTGCTTTTTGGTTGAAGTTCTTCAAATATCTCTATCATGAAGATTACTTAGTATTCTGTTAAGCACGTAAGGCTAAAATGCATCTTACAAAGGCTGAAAGTCAACATTTTAGTGCCTGTGAACTAGATTTAAGGGTGATCTAGTTTACAGTATGTCTAATATTAGAGGACAATTTCTTTGGTGATTGTAATAAAATATTACCTAATTCTTGGGTTATTTTGTGTAAATTCATTGCATTCTAAAACATTTGCTTTAACACAGTTTATGTGGAGGTGCTGAATGGAAACAGGTTTTAGAATAATTTTCTTTACTGCTTTAATTCAAGGGTGATCATGAATGTCAGGCATTTCATTTGACCTTTAGGATGCAGAGCTACATGAAATTCACTTTGCTCTTAAAGGAACTTACACACTAATGTGGGAGACAAATGTATACAAGAGCCATGAATATGCATTAAGTGCTAGACTAGTAGCGCAAAGTGCTAGAACCACACAGAGGAGAAAGAAACGAGCTCCAACAGGGTGAACTGTGGACAACTTCATGGAGGAAGTGACATTTGAACTTCATCTTGAGGGATTGATAGCATTTTGAAGGAGCATGGAGAGGAAAGATCATCCAGGGAAAGGAATAGTAAATGTCAGGGCAGTAAGGTGGGAGTATTGCTAATTGATTTATAACAATCATAATGAATGCCTGTATTCCTTTATTGATTAAAGGCAAAGAGTATATTCACAGTGTTGTGTAACCATCACCACTAATTCCAGAATATTTTCACCATCCCTAAAATATACCCCATACACCCAGTTAAGCACTCACTCCCCAATACCCCCTCCCCACAGCCCTTGACAAACACTAATCTACTTTTGTCTCCATTCTGGGCATTTCACATAAATGGACTCATAGAATATGTGGCCTTTTGTGTCTGACATCTTTCACTCGTGCATGTTTGCATGTTGTCAAGTTTCATCTGTATTGTAGCATGTATCAGTGCTTCATTCTTTTTTTAAAATTTGTTCTTGCATCCCTCATTTTTTAAAAAACTTTATTGTATTGAGAATGTAGGGCATATGGTAAAATTTATCTAAAGTATAAACTGCAGTGTTTTTTAGTATATTCACAGATATATGCAACCATTGATGCAATCAAGTTTAGAACATTTTCTTCACCTCAAAAATATTGGCCTCTTTGGCTTTTATCCTCCTAAACCACCTCAAGCCATTTCTTCCCACCAGTTCTAAGCAACAGCTTATCTAATTTCTAACTCTCGAGTTCCCTACTCTGGACTTGCAATGAATGAACTCATGTAATACGTGGTGTTTTGTGACTTGCTTATTTATATTCTCTTAGCATTATATTTTCCTGGTACATCTAGGTTGTAGTATGTATCGGTACTTCTTTCTTTTATATGGCCAAATAATATTCCATTATGTAGATTTCCACATACTGTTTATCCATTCATCCACTCACAGATATTCAGGTTGTTTACATTTTTGCTTATTAAGAATAATCCTGCTATAAACAATAATATACAAGTTTTTCTATGGACATGTGTTCACTTCTCTTGGGTATATGCTGTGTCATAAAGCAACTTCATATTGAATCATATGAGGAACTGCCAGACTTTTCCAAAGCAGCTGCACTATTTTTATATTTCCAGAGGCAGTGTGTGAAGATCCAGATTCCTCATCCTCACCAAAACTTGTTATTATCAGAATTCTTATTGTAGTCATATTGTGGATATAAAATGAAATCTCATATGGTTTTGATTTGCATTTCCCTGATGACTAATGGTGTTGAGCTTCTTTTCATGTGCTTATTGGCCGTTTGTGTGTCTTCCTTAGAGAAATGTCTGTTCAGTTCCTTTATCCATTTTTGACTGGGTTAGCATTTTATTATTAAGTTGTAAGAGTTCTTCATATATTCTAGATACAGGTCCTTTATCAGACATATGATTTTAAAACATTTTTCCCATTCTGTGTGTCTTTCTAATTTCTTGATTGTGTCCTTTGATACACAGATGTTTTTTATTATGAAAAAATGTATCTACTATTTCTTTTGTTGTTCATGTTTTTGTTGTCATTAAGAATCCTTTGTCAAATTCAAAATCATGAAGATTTAGCTCAGTGTTTTCTCCTAAGAGTTTTATAATTTTAATCTTGTATTTACCTCTTTGTTCCATTTGAGTTATATTTAGTATATAATATGAGATGTCATTCTTTTGCACGTGGCAATACAGTTATCCCAGCATCATTTGTTGAAAACACTACTTTCCCCAATGAATGATCTTGGCCTTCTTGTCAAAAATTGATCATAGATGTATTACTTTATTTCTAGACTCTTAATTATTTTCCAGTGGCCTATATGTCTTTCCTTATGCCAGCACAACACTATTTTTCTTACTGTAGCTTCCTTGCAAGTTTTGAAATTGAAAAATTGTGAATTCTCCAACTCTTTTTTTTTTCAAGTAAATTTGGTTATTTTAGGTCACATAATTTCTGTATAAATTTTACAATCAGCTTTCCTAATTCTGCAAAAAAGTAGTTGGAATTTCAGTAGGGATTGCATTGGAAATGTATATTGATTGGGAGGTATTGCCATCCTAATAATATTAAGTTTTCTATTCCATTAAAATGGATTATGTTTCCACTTATTTAGGTTTTCTATAATTTCTTTCAACAATCTTTTAAAAGTTTGTTGTAAAAAGTTTCATTGTAAAAGTCTTGCACTTGCTTGATTATATTTACTTCCAAGTATTTTATTCCATTGTAAATGGAATTGTTTTCTTTATTTCATTTTTGGATGACTAATGCGTAGAGCATGGAAATACAACTAATTTTTATATATTGATTTGCACCCTGCAGTTTTTCTGGAGTCATTTATTAGCTGTAAAAGATTGATTTTGTATGTGTAGATTCTTTAAGATTTTCTATATATAATGTAATGTTATCTGTTAAAAGAATTTTCCTTCTTCCTTTCCAATCTGGATAACTTTTATTTATTTTCATTTATTTATTTGCTTAATTATCCCAGCTAGAATTCCAATAGAATATTAAATAAGAAGGCAAGAGCAGAGATCCTGATCTTCAGAGGAAAACTTTCCATTTTTCACCTTTATATTATATGTGGATTTTTCATATCTATTCTTTTTATTGTTCATTGAATTTATTTAAACTAAAAACAAAAATAATTCACCCATTTCTCCCACCCCACCCCCTGCCTATGGCAACCACCAATCTGTTCTCTGTATCTATTAGCTTGATTTATATATGTGTATATAGATTCTACATGTAAGAGAGATGATACAGCATTTGCCTTTCTCTGTCTGACTTATTTCACTTAGCATAATGCCCTTGAAATCTTGCCATTTATAACAACATGGATGGGCCTTCAGAAAACTCCAATCTGTTCTTAGTTTGTTGGTTTCTATCATGAAAGGGTATTCAATTTTGTCAAATGCTTTTTCTCTATCGAGATTATCATTTCTTTGTTCATTCTATTAATAGGCTTTATTACACTGATTCATTTTTCATATGCTGAATTAACCCTACATTCTTGGGATTATTCCTACTTGGCCAAGTTATATAATCCTCTTAGTATTCTGCTGGACAGGTTGCTAGTATTTTGTTGTGGATTTTTGCATCAGCAGTCATAAGGGATATTGATTTGTAGTTTTTATTTCTCGTATCTTCGTCTGGCTTTGGTGTAAGGGTAATACTAGCTTTATGGAATGAGTTAGGAAGTATTCCTTCCTCTTCTATTTTTTATAGACAAGTTTAAGAATGAGTGGTGTTAAAACTTTAAATGTGTAGTAGAATTCACCAGTAAACCACCTGGTTCTGGACTTTTCTTTATATGAATCTATATGAGTACTGACTCAATAGCTTTACTTGTTACAGTTCCATTCAGATTTCTGTTTATTCTTGAGCCAGTATTGATAGTTTGTGTGTTTCTAGGGTTCTGTGTGTTTCATCTAGATTATCTAATTTGTTGACATACAAATCATTAATATTATTCCCTATCATCCTTTTTATTTCTTTAAGATTGGTAGTAATGTCCCCACTTAACTTAATTTTTAATTAATGTAATTAATTAAACTTGATCCCCACTTGATTAATAATTAGAATCTTCTCCTTTTTCTTGGTCAGTCTAGCTACAGGTTTGTCAATTTTGTTGATCTTTTCAAAGTGCATACTTTTGTTTCACTGATTTTTCTCTATTGTTTTTCTATTCTCTTGTCGTTATTAAAATTCTAATTTTAATTATTTCCTTCCTTATACTTGTTTTGAGTTTATTGGCCTTGTTTTAGTTTCCTAATATGATAGGTTAAGTTCTTGATTTGAGATCTTTCTTTTTTTATGTAGGTATTTACAACTATACATTTTCCTCTGAGCACTACTTTTACTCTTATCTTATAAATTTTGGCATGTTGTGTTTCATTTTTGTTCATCTCAGAGTGTTTCCTAATTTCTCCTTGACCCATTGGTTATTTAGGAGTATGTTAGTTCTCAAATATTTATGAATCTTCCAAATTTACTTCTTTTGCTGATTTCTGATTTCATTCCATTGTGGTTGAAGAATATATTCTATATTACTTTAATATTTTTAAATTCAGTGAGACTTTTTTGTGGCTGAACATATTGTCTATCCTGGACAATGTTCTATGTGTATTTTAGAAGAACGGATTCTGCTGTTGAGTAGAGTGTTCCATAGATATATGTTACGTCTAGTTTAAAGTGTTGTTCAAGTTTTCTTTTTTCTTTCTGATCTCCTGACTAGTCATTTTATCATTTATTGCAATGAGGTACTGAAGTCTCAACTGCTGCAGAACTATTTCTACCTTCAATCCTTTTTTTCTATATGTCTCATTGCCTCCATTACTGCCTTTATTTGTGTAGAATACTTTCTAGTGTACCACTTTATTTTACTGTTATTTTTGTTGAAAGAAACAGATGTTTTTTTTACTATATATTTTTGAATCATCTCCTTAGTGGTTGCTCTGGGTATTACAAGTATCCTAATTTACAACAATCTAGTTCATATTAGTTCTACCTTAAAATCAATAATAGTATAGAAAAACTTCCTACATATGTACCTCCACCAACCCTACTTTAGGTTACTATTGCTGAAATTACATCTTTATGTATTGTATACCCATTAAGATAGATTAATAATTCTTGCTTATGCACTTGTCTTTTAACCTAAATAGAAAAAAAAGAGTTATAAACAAACAAAAAAAACACATTAATACTGCCTTTTGTAATTACTTATGCAGTTACCTCTACTGGTTTTCTTTGTTTCTTCATGTGGATTTGAATAGGTCTAGTATCCTTTTTTCAGCCTGAAGAGCTATCTGTAGCAACTCTTGTAGAGCAGGTCTGCTTGCAATGAGCTCTCACAGTTTATCTGGGAATGTCTTAATTTCTTCTTCATTTTTTGTTGTTTAAGTTTTTATTTCATAATGATAAACTTGGCAATCCAGCCAGACTTGGAGGGGGATAAGGAAAATATGGGACCCAAAGAACTACAGCAAGAGTACAAAGATTATGAGATGTTTCAAGAGAGGGGGTGAAGGGGGGGTGTTCTTTTGAGCTGTAGGAGAAATAGTCTAGGGGTTAAAATAAAACACTAGTCAAATGTATTAGATCTGTCAACAGTTAGCAAGGGTGATCTTCTTGCTGGTCTTGCCATTCTTGGACCCAAAGCACTCCATGGCTTCCACAATATTCATGCCCTCTTTAAGCTTGCCAAAAACCACATCTTGCCATCCAGTCACTCAGTCCTGGCAGAGCAGATGAAAACCTGGAAACTGTGTTCAGTCCAGTATTTGCCATGGACAAGATGCCAGAACCCTTGCATGCTTCATGATGAAATTTTTATTGTCAAATTTCTCTCCATAGATGTGCTTGCTACCAGTTTTATTATGATATACAACGTCACCATCCTAGCACATAAATCCCAGAATAGTTCTGTGTGCAGGAAACTTTATAAGCAAATCCTTTCTCCCCAGTGCTCAGAGCACAAAAGTTTTCTTTGTCTTTGGAACTTTGCAAACAGCTTGTAGGAGACATAACCTAAGGGTCCTTTGGCCAGGCTAAGGCCACATTGGTCAACTGAAACCTGAAGTGTCAGGGTAGGGGGTCTTATCTAAGGGGCACACAAGGGGAAGACCCTGGGATATGGAAGAGACAGTTATCACAGGGCTCTTGGGGAAGTCATATCAGGATCTTACATTTGCTTCTGACTCTGTGACTGCCTTCTGGGGCACGTGCAAGAGGGGGCTAGTGTTAGTTTAGGGCCTCTCAGGTCACTTGACCAAACAAAATGTATACTGGGGCAGCAGTACCATGGAGTAGCTTAGCTAAACTATCTACCAGTGTTTTTCGCCTTTTTCACATGAATGATAACATACATGAAACACTGTCCTGTGTCTTGCTTTACAGACTTAAGAAAACATGGGATGATTCCACATGAGTCTGTAAAGCCTTCTTTGCCTCTTTAATGGCATTCTGTAGACACACCGTAATTGATTTAAGCAATCCCATATTGTTTAAGAGATTGTGTCAAATCTTTCATTATTATGATTTATGCATCAGCGAAAAAACTTAGATGTATTATTTCTCACAAAGGAAGTGTATTTACAGGATAAATTTATAAATGTGGAATCATTGGGTTAAAGTATATATGCATTTTATAATTTGATGAATATTACCAAAATGTTTTCCATAAAGACTGTACCAGTTTATACTTCCAACAGCAACATACACTTATTTTCAAATATTAATCCTAAGGACTAAATGTGTTTTATTTAGGTTACAAGTCCCAAAGTTTCAAAGGTACTACAAAAATCACCCTCTTCAAGAAGACTGGTAAGAAAACAATTCCTTTTCTACCTAATTATTAATTCCCTACATAGTATTCCCTGGCTACATCCACCATATCTGTGTATAATTTTGATCATAATATATCCTTCAAACTTGACATATTCAGGGTGGTTCATGAAAGAGGTTGTTGCAGTTCAAATAACTGATGACTCAAAATGTGCAGTCAGCATTCTGGGCACAACTGTGAATACTATAGGAAGTTATAGGGAAAATGGGATTAATATGATCACTGGTTCAATAATGGCAGGACTATGGAATTTATCTTACAGAAGCTTCTAGAGAGCTGGAAGTAGAAGGACATAAGATGCCCAAAAGAGCATTTTAAGAGTGTGGTCTTGGCTGCAGTGAACCCAGGGGTACTCTGCCCCCAAGTCCAAATCCCTCAATATCTATTCCCTAGCATGCTTTCCTGTCTTGCGTGTAATAGTAGAAACGTCTATAAGAATTGACATTGTTTTAAAATACTTTGTATTAGTTTCCTAGTGCTTGTATAACAAAATACCACAAAGTAGATGGCTTAAAACAATAGAAATGTATTATTCTCTCAGTTTCAGAGGCTAAAAATCCAAAATCAATGTATCAGCCTGGTTGTTTCCTTCTAAGGATCTGTTCCTGACATCATTCCTAGCCTTTGGTGATGCCAGCAATTCTTGGTGTTCCTTAGCTTGTCGATGCACCACTCCAGTCTCTGCTTCCATCTGTACATGGCATTCACTGTGTATGTGCATTTGACTCCTCATATGAGGACACCAGCCATATTGGATACAGTATGACCTCCAGTAAGACCTTATCTTAGTTACATCTGCAATGACCCTGTTTCCAAATAAGATTATTTCTCAGGTCCTGAGAGATAAGACTTTAACATATCATTTTGGGGAACACAATTCAACCCATAATGTATTACTTCCAAGATAGGTATTTAGTTGATCCACATAAACCTTCTACATCATCAATTCCATCCTTTGAGAATGTTCAAACTGAAAATGATTGTAAAGAGTAACCAGGTTCCTAAATAGAAATTTATTTCTGTTCATCTCTAGATAGAGGATTAATTTTAAAATGTTCAAAATCTTGAAACAAAAGGAATTTTCCAGTCAATCCTGATAAAATAGAAAGTTCTGTTAATTAAATAGCACTGTTCTTTGAAAATTTCATTTAACAAGAGCCTCAAGTCCCCAGGCCAATCTTGTCCTATGAAAGCAGAGAAATTCAGTTTGGGCCAGCCATTCATTGTCACTGACTAAACAAAAAAGGATATTTGAAAAGCCATATTTTTTAACTGCTCCTTAAAATTTTCATTCGATTGATCTCTTAAAGTATATTGAAATACAGATTTCTGCTTAAAGTAGGCTTACATTGTTCAAGAAAATGCATTGATACAAACATTAGGTTTTTGTCACAACCCAGATTTACTTCTCTCATTATCGTAAAGCATTATAATAAAAGCCCAGATTAGGAAAGTCATTAGTGAATCTCCTGTTAAAAAGAAAACAGGGTTTCATTCTGGTTAAATACTGGTCAGAATAACACGGGCTTCATGTCTCTTAAGTGAAATCATTGAACTGCTCTTCACCCTAGTCTGACAGAATGAACTGCCTTTTTCCTCATTCTCAGTCTGATGTGCCGGAAGGAGTCATAAGGGTCCATGCTCCACTTCTCTCTAAGGTGTCCATGGCCATTCAACTCAATAGTCAAACCAAAGCCAAAGACATACTGGCGAAATTTCAATATGAGAACAGGTGAGTAAAAGTCTCTGTACAAGGAAGATGAACTTCTTTTAGATGGCCTTTTTGAAAAATTAAAATCTGTTACTTTGGAGACTTTACCAGTAGATGAAAAGTCAAAAGAAGAGAAAGAAGTTAAGTAGTCCATAGAATTGTTAGTAACAGAGAAGTTGTTGTGGTCTTTTTTAAAGTAATTTCCACAAATAAGATTCTTAATATGTATCTTCCTCCTAGGTGTCTACTGAGTTTTATTTTATTTTTAAAAAAAAACATATAACAAGTTAGTTTTGTAGATGTCTTGATAGAGGAATATCATTATCCCAGTGTCCTTTGTGGTTTAAGCTGCCATATAAGACAGAGTTTATGTAGTTAAATGGATATTGTAGCTCTTGCTTTCCTACTAATGCTACTAAATAAGTATTTTAATCAAAATACTTTTGCATGTCTGCCATAAGTCACCTTAAAACAACATAAGTCATGATAATTTTTGTTTAGACATGCTTATTCAAGGATAACATTTGCCCTGAGATTTTCAAAAGATGAGAAGCACTAGTTTAAATCTATTCATTAGACGGCTGGTACAGTTTGACGGGCTTTGGTAAAACTCTGACAGATACCCTTAAAAAGAAGCTTTCCAGTCATACTAAAAGAGGAGAGCCATGTCGAGAAAAAAAATTACAGAAATTTACATACTGTAAGACTCCATTTATATAACACTTTGAAATGACAAAATTTTAGAGGTAGGCTATAGATTAGTGGTTGCCAGAGGTTGGGGAGGGCTGATCATGGGAGGAGTATGGGACCAATTACGAAAGGATAACAGAAAGGACCTTCTGGTGGTGGAACTGGTCCGTATCTTGATTGTAGTGGTCAGTGAAAGAACCACCACATAATTGTATTGCACTTAATATACACAAATGAGTGTAAATGAAATAAGAAATCTGAATTAAATGGGTGGATTGTATCAGTGTCAGTATCCTCATTGTGACATTATACTATAGTTTCCCAAAATGTTACTACTGGGGAGAACTGGACAAAGAGTACAAGGAATCTCTGTTTTATTTCTTAAAACTACATGTGAATCTACAATTATCTCAAAAAAAATTCCAATTAAAAAAAAAAAGCAGCCAATAAAAGAAATCTGTGGTGCTAGAAGCAAGGATGGTGGCTTTCTCTGAGGACAGAGGGATAACTGACTGAGAAGGTATGACTAGTCACTTCGAAGAAGTTCCTTTTTTAGATAGGGGGACTGTTAAATGGGGTATTCACTATGAAAATTCAAGGTGTGTATTTATGATATGTGCATGATATGTTTTAAATATACATGTTATATATATATGAGATTGTATATATATAAACATTAACATATATTCATATATAATATACCTAAACTATATTTTATATATAAAATTTATAGCTTATATATATTTATATACATATAAAATTTATATATAATGTAAATATATAAAATGAAAGCTTACATAAAGTAGAAGGCCACAGGAGCCCTGAACATTTACTCTGTGCTGCTGGTTTCTCACAACTAAGACACTAAATAGTTGCCACTAGGCAGTAGTAATAGACTGGAAAGTCCTTTGGAGGGATTTGGACATCCAACAGCTTCCTAGTTATATGTGTTACAAGCTGTGTGTGTACTCTCATGCAGACCTTTAGTAGAAAGAAAATGTTTCTAATAAAAAATGTTAGAACCAATGACTGCAAACCACTCAGATCCTTTATATCAGCTTCATCAAAAGATCTTGTCCTGTCCACTGTCTTACTAGTTAGAACTGAGACCTTTTTCGGTTTAAAAGTTGTAACCTGGTCCATTTTTGCCTGTTTCACTAGAGAGTTATTTTCTGGCTGACTGCTTATTACCTCTTGTGTCTGTGTAATGAAAGGGGAACAGTGTCTCATTCCTCCCAGGGCCTCCCTCTCACAGCTGAGAAACCTTGGACGTAACAGAACAGTAAGGCTCTGGAAGGTAGAAAGATGAGTGAGTGCGGATGGCCTGGAGACATGGGGCCTCATGGAATCCCATCGTAGTGACTTCCGGGGCTTCCTTCCAGCCTCCAGTATCCCTGGCAGCACTATACGGAGACCTCCAGCCTGGTACAGGCACAGATGGAAAACTGGCTCCAAGAAAAGCTTGCTCCCTCTAGCCAAAATTCTGGAGAAAGGGTGGCTTGCCTTCCAAAAACATTCTGGCAACACCTACCCTACTTCACCAAACACCAAGAGAAATAAAACAGACCGCCACCCCTTTGGTTTCAGTGGGACCAAGAGGGCCACTGACCTACTGTGCCCCATCCAACAGAACCAGGTGGTGATCCAGATCAGTAGTGTCCTGACTTGAGCTGAGTCTCCACCTCAGCCCAATAGCAGACTGAGCAAGTTAATGCAAGGCAGTCCTTTGACCATCAGGATCCCTTCCTCCCACAGAGCCAGGAACGCCCAGGAGGAGCTGAGCTCACCCAGCAGAACAAAGCTATGAGGCAACCATCTGTCTCCCCCTGTTCCCTGGTGGCAGCAGAGCCCAGCAGGGGTCTGAACTGACACCCCCAATCAGAGGCAGTGAAACAGTGCTGGGTGGTACCCCACTTCCCTGGGCAGATGTCAGTGAGGCCCAGCAAAGAGCTGAAATACACACCCACCCAGACCTCTTGCTAAACCTCGGCAGGAGGACTGCCTACCAAAAAATGAAGATTAAAGAAGATCCGGAGTCTCATAATATCCAGAATGTCCATAATATGATACAAAATCCCTTATTATACTTAAATCAGGAAAATCAGGAATGAGCAAAGACAATCAACACTAAATCGTCTACCAACACTAAACTGAATCAAATGTTAGAATTGCCTGACAATGATTATCCGGCAGCCGTCGAAAAAATGCTTCAAGAAGCAATTTCAAATTCCCTTGAAACCAGTGAAAAGTAGAACATCTCAGCAAAGAAATAGAAGTTACAGAAAAGAATGAAATGGTAATTATAGAACTGAACAATACACTAACTGAAATAAAAAACTCATTAGGTGGGCTCAGTAGTGGAGTGGAGACGACAGAAGATGTAATCGGTAAATTCGAGGACATATCAACAGCATTATCTATTCTGAACAACAGAAGGAAAACAGACCAAAAATAATGAATACAGACTCGGGGATTCTCAGACCTATAACAAGAGAGCTGACACTTGTATCATTGGTGTGCCCGAAGGAGACACAACAGAGTGGGACTGAATAAGTATTTGAATAAATAATGACTGAAAACTTCCCAATTTAGCAAAAGGCATAAACTTACATATTCAAGAAACTAAGTGAACCCAAATAGGACTAACCAAAGAAATCCATGCCAAAACAATATTAATATAAACTCATAAAAATTAAAGACGGAAACCTTGAAAGCATCTAGAGAGAAGCAATTCATTTCAATTCAAATTATAGTGAATTTTTCATCTGAAACTGTGGAGGCCACATGGAAGTTGCATAACATTTGTTGAAGTACTAAAGAAAAGAACTGTAGCCTTGAACTCTATGTCCAGCAAAAAATATTCTTTTAGTGGAAAGGGGAAATATATATATTCTTGGACAAAGGAAAATTAAGGAATTTTGTCACTGGTGAACCTACCAGTAAAGAATAGCTAAAGGAAGTTCTCTCAACAGAAAGAAAATGATACCAAAGGCTTGGAACATCAGAAAGGAAAGGAGAACATCAGATTGTGTAATACTTGGGGAGTTATTTTCCATGATTTGTTTTTATTATCGGGCAGACACATTCAATGAAGTCAACGTCACACAGTTTGCAGAGCATTAGGCAAGCTCAGAAATAAGGACGTGGGCTGAGGAGAGACTCTCATTCAATCTCACTCAACCTGACTTCTCTTGAACTGAGAGTCATGTGACTAATGACAAGGCAACATTAAACATCCAGCTGCTCCTTGGTGAGCCTGGATGTGTCAGTAACAATTTGCTTTATTAAATGGAACCAACAGTTGTAGATAGAAGGGCTCCGGGCTGAGCACAGTAGACCGTCTTGGTTTGGAAAGTCCCATCCTCTCTGTGCCTCAGATGATTGTCTGTGTCAAAATAAAAACCAGTTGTTTTTATAAAATCTTCAGTCATAACAATTATTTCTGAGGTGTATTTCCCTCCAGGCAAAATGAACTGTTTCATTGCCATAGTTATTTAAATCCACAGATTTACTTCCAGTCATGGAAGAGGGTTTAAATTATATTGCTTTCTCCTTTTTTCAGTCATGGTTCATCAGAACGCATTAAGATTCAGAACCAAAGGTTATATGAGATTGGAGGAAATATAGGTAAGCATTCTTTGATAATGTTTATTCCTAAATTCTCTGATTACTCTAAAAGAAACCAATGTAATTTAGAGTTAGAAATTCTTTCAGGAGATTCATGCAAAATAAAGGAGAGAACATCATGGAACTTTCGGAAGCATGACACCATTTTTGTTTAACTTACCTGCTTTCACTCTCAGCTCAAGTTCATTCTTCCTATTTCCCTGAACGGGAACAAAAAAGAATCTAAAGAAAATTCCCTCTGCTTGCAACTGTGTCCTTACCTTCTGTGGCCATGTCTTCTGGTTGCCCTGCTCCTAGTCCAGCTGACCTGCCCACGCTTCTCTTTAAGGCCAGCACCTCCACACCTGGGTCCCCTCCTGCCTGATGAGGACGCTGCTCCAGTCACACACACACACCCGGCACTCTCTCCTGCACCATCAGCTCTTCCTCCCAACTTCATCATTCCTATCTGCATTAAAAATGTGGTAATTTCTCTCATCTTTACAAAACTCTCTTGGCCCCCTTGAAGTCTACTCCCATCTCTCAGTTCCACTTTACAATAGAAACTCCTTGAATCAGTTGTCTATACTCCAGTTTCTTCCTCGTGTTCCCTCTTGAAACCACTCGAGTCAAGTTTTACCCCTCAACACTTCACTAAAATCCCTCCCTTGTTGAGGTGACCAGAGAACGCTCACGTTGTGAAATCCCATCATTCATCTGTCTTTATAACTGCCTGAGTTGATCTTTCCCTTCCTTGAGAAAGCACTCTCTTCACCCAGTTTCAGCCTCTGGCTTGCCTCCCCCTTCACGGGCTGCTCCTCTGAGTCTCTTGCCTGGTACTTCTCAGCCTCTTAACATTGGAGAGCTGTAGGGCTGTCGTTGGGACTCTTCTCTGTAACTTCCTTGGTGAGCTCACTCAACCCCATTGCATTAAATATACCTGTGTGCTGATGCCTCTCAAATTTATATCCAGACTTCCCCTCAGCACCAACTCTGCATATCCTGTCACCACGTACCATGCCTTGGGGCCTTTGCATTTGCTCTGACTCGTGCTTCACATGCTCTCCTCTAGGGTGCTCATTCTCACTCACCTCTTCCAGGTGCTTGCCACTCTGTCACCTTCCCCATGAGACCTTCCTGGATCATACCCTCTCCAGGTGCCTTCCCAGCTTTGTTGTTCTCTATTGTTCTTACCAACATGAGACTGCCTTCATTTGCTTATTTGCCAGCTGCTTTGTGCCATTTTTAGAATGTAAGCAACCCGAGGGCAATTAATTTTGACTGTCTGATGGATTGCTGTAGCCCCAGCCCCTAGACTAGTGCCTGGCACATAACTTTCAAGAAATATTTGATGAATGAAGCAAGCAAGCAAGTAATCAAATATTGTGGTTTTGTTTGAGGCTTCAGTATACATTTCAAAGACACTATACATAAAGATATTCAAACATATTCACCCCGTGGAATGATCTTTTGGTATCATTACCAGATCCCCTGCCTATGGGCATTGCATTCATAGTAAAGAAATAAAATGACAATCCTAATAAGAACTTAATTTTACTCTTCTCCAGTCCTGGTCAAGTCATTACTCCATAAAACCATCAGAGGACATGTATTATCATAGAAATGATCTGATTATACCCAAAACTATTCTTCCTGTATTTTTCTATGATGTGGTATTTCAGTTTGTATGTGATTGGTATGTGTTTTCTCCACAATTTCCCATTGGGTTTATTTGAAGTCATTCAGTCAGAAAGAAAGGAAAAAGTAGGGAAGGAAGAAGGAAGACAGGAAGGAATGTTGGCTTTGCTAAGAAACTTTAAATGTATCTACTTACTTTTGCCTGAGCGAGCTTTATTGATCCTATTCAAACCTCACAAACACATACGCGCACACATGCACGTGCACACATAGACGTGTGCACTCTCAAAACCATTCTTTCATTTTCTCTTTTAGGGCAGCATTGTTTGGATCCAGATGCTTATATATTGGATGTGTATCATGTAAATCCTCAAGCAGAATGGGTGATTAAACCCAAATCAAGTTTTTGAAGTACTCTCCCAGATGGCAGCTATCATGTGTTATATACCAAGAAGACCCTCCGTTTGGTAGGGGAGAAGCCACATTGCTTTTTGACGTGTTTGTTCTTATAACCCTGTTGGTGTTTCTCAGCCCAAATGATGTCTTCCTGCATTGTCAGCATGAACTTTGGAAGAGGACCTAGTTGACTGTGAGCTGATGCTTTCTCATGATGGTTCCTTAAAATGAGTAAAGTAAAGAAGATTTGATCTTTCCAGAAGAAAGACTAATCTTGAACATGCAAGTCTAATCATTTCTGGCACTTTGACTTCACAGCAGAAATGAACTAGGTCCTATACCTGGAGATAAGAAACACTTCTTTGTGTAGCAAATGCTACCAAATGTAAGAGGTGGAAAAGACTTTTTAAAATACTTATAGACATATATTGACCTTTCTGAACAAGAATGCCAGAAATATCAGCAATTTCTGCTCTGTAAAATAATTCAGATCTACTTTCCAAAGGGATTTGGTTTCTTAAGTTACACGTACAGTATTTATGCTCTGACCTAACTTCTGCTTAAAGAACACTGTGTTGTTATGTTTGCCATCCTGTATTATCACTGTCAACATTCTGATGCAAATGGTCATTTCTGCATCTTGAACTATTGAAAACTGTATTTGTAAGGCTTATTCTCTTATGATCACAGGTCACTATGGGGAAGGTTAGTTTGACAAAGAGTGTTCTTATGCTTCCATAACCTTCTGTATACGTAGTAGTCACAGAGCCTCTATTTTCGTATCATGATTTTGGTGCTCAATGAATGAATTGCTTTACATGTGCCAGACACAGATTTCCTTTCCTGATCAAATATATCATTTTTTAAAATATTTTGCAACTGTCAGTAGTCACTTCTGCAGCCCCAATTGAAAAATACAAAACCTTCTTTATCCAACTATTCTTTATCCAAGACTGCTGAAAAATACTGTTATATTCAGATTGTACATGCTGTAAAAGGAGATATTGTTCTGTTCGTCAGTCATGGACATGACCAAGCCCAGAGGATTAGCATTAGGCTTTAAAATCAGATGCATATTTGGTAAACTGAAACCTGTCATGCTATTGAGAGCCTGCAGAGCCATTTTCCAGACCTGCAATTATGAAGAACACAGTTCTCCACAATTCTAATCGAGAGCAAATCTAAAACATGCTGAGGTGTCAGTTCTGCCTTGTATCTTGAGACCTCAGATACTGTCCCTCTAGGATTTCCTGGAAATGGGAAAAGAGGTCTCATTTATTCCATGTGTGTGCTTTGGATTAGAATCCACAGGTTGAGATTTTGATGAATTTATACTGGTTTTAATGAGATTTAACACCCAAATGACTCTCTTGCAATTCAAACAGTAGGCAAAATTGCCCACAAATGCAGAAAAAATCTTATCTGCTTACCAGTCTCAAAACATAATGTGGTAATAATTTAAGCCCATATATATAAGAAAAATTTTGTATGCTGCATTATGCCTAGATATGTTAAAAACATTAGTTATATTTAACAGGTATAATTGTATTTCCTGCCATTAGGATTTTGTTTTGTTTTTATAGAAAACTGAAGTATTCATTTTATTTGCTTGTTTGAGAATTTTTATTTCCTTTGACTGAAAACCCATTGGAAGATAAATGTGTCTTAAAGATTTATATTTAAACATATTCTTACATTTCATCGTTTTTGCAATGTATGGCTAACTGATAGCACATGAGTTTGCATGATGAATTTTGAGAATCTGAAAAATTACTTTTTTGTCTTTACAATTCAGTCAACAGAGGTGAACATTTTACTTTATGTAGTTGTTAGGTTGCAAGACATAAAGTGGCACTAATTATGCCCACACACACAGAAGAAATTCTTCAAATTAGCTACCCTACACTTCTATGAATATATGAAACCATAACTGATTTTTCTCATGGTAGTTCCTATCATTTAGAATAGTTAAATGCTGATGTGTTTATGTATAAAACTCACAGATCTACTCATTTAATTTTTATTTGGGAATTTTCATTTCATCTGACTGAGAACACAGTAGGACCTCATATGTAAGTTCTAAAGGTTTAAGCTTTATTCCACTTGTCATCAGTTTTAAATAAATGGCTAACAGATGGCAGGTAAAAAAAAAAATAGGCTTCTGGCTTTCTTACCCAGTTCTATGTGGTTTTGGATGTCAAAGATATAGTTGAGTCAATAACTTTAGATTAATCACTTCAATATATTCAAGGATGTGACAACTTTCAAGTAACTATATAACATGGAAGGCCATGTCAATCCCAGTATCAATGGATATAACTTTTATTCTTAGTTTTTTCAATAGGAGAGTTTTCAGTAGGAAGACTAATTTGTGTGTGGGTAGTGAGGTTCTTTTTACTAATTTTTACCCTTAAAGAATAAATAAACCCCTACAATTAAAATTCAAAAATGCCTGTTCACTAAGTACTGAAGAAAGCTATTTTTGCCTTAGCAAGAGTTGTTATAGAAGATTTACTTTCTATATTTACTTTCTTTCTGTCAAGCACATTTCAATGGTTCTTCACAAATCTATCACACACCTGAAAAGAATATATACAATGGGATTGAATATTTTCCAGTTTCTGACAGGCCTTCTCAACTGTTTTCCATAAATATGTCACTTAATGAAAAATAACATGACAGTAATCTGAAAAAGAGTGTTATTATTTGCAAATAAAAGAACTGGGCCTCTAAATTCTATTCTTAACAGCTTCCCACTCTACCTAGATCCAAGTACTCTGGGTATACAGTTAGGAAAATAATATTCAGGAAAGTATTAGAGAAAGTTAATATTTGGGGAATACTTACTCAGAAACAACCTGAGAACTGGCGCATTTTTTTCTTCATTCTGCAAAAGAGGATCGATCCCTTTGTTAAACAGCTCACTTAGGGATGTGATTCCTGGAGTCAACCATCTTCAAACCAACTGGAATATCAATTTCTTTACAATGTATATACAGTATAAACTACCTCACTTGCCTTTATTGGGGAAAAATAATGGACCTTAACAATTTTTGTTACAAACTGTCCCTGAGTCTTATTATTTAAGTCATTCAGTTAGGTTTAAATGTACATTTAATAATATTCCTTTAATGATGTAAAATATTTTTAGCAAAAGCTTTAAAGCCAAAAATGCTCTGTAACTGTGATCTGTGGTAGACTCTGAGAGAATTTGTGTCCTTCAGTCATTGTCTTGTGTGTTTAGCCATACTGAAGTGCAGGTTCTCAAAGGTGGGAATGATATTCATCTTTTCTTTCAGGCATTTTTCAACCATTTTCATTGCATCGCACTTAACTGAAAAGTAACATGAGATGAAAATGTCCCTTCTTTCTGTCAAGCACATTTCAATGGTTCTTCACAAATCTATCACACACCTGAAAAGAATATATACAATGGGATTGAATATTTTCCAGTTTCTGACAGGCCTTCTCAACTGTTTTCCATAAATATGTCACTTAATGAAAAATAACATGACATGGGTTAAAATGTTTCTTTCAAGTATTTTCAACAGTTTTACATACACGCACATACACACACCTTAGTTTAAAAATAACATCTTTTCTTCCATTTTCCAGCAATTTTCTAAAACTATGTGACTTGTTTGAAAAAAATCACATAATGCCAATGTTTTATGTTGTCTCCCACCTCAAACTTAATATTGATTCTTTTGCCCCATCAGCTTTCATTGTTAAGTATAATATGTACGTTGCATTTTATCCATAAAAATAAAGAGAGAAAAACTAATAGCATTGTCATGAGAATTCTTACATTCAGGTAGTCTAAGGGCACCGGGGTGCTGGTGGGAGGGCGGGAAGGTTTGTGTGTGAGCCCCGTCTCTGTCACTTACAGCCAAGGATGGTGTTGACCAAAAACCGTGTAACACTATGGTAAAGATGGATGGTTGTAAGCAGGGGGGTGTAGATTGAATAAACAACCGCTATTTCCTAAATTCTTTTTGATGTGGCACTTTTTGATGTGTCCTAACAGGTTTTTAATATGTACTTAAAAAAATCAAACTTTCAATAGATACAGAAAAGACATTTGACAAAATTCCATGCCCATTAATGTTTTTTAAAAAGTTCAATATTTTACTGTGTCTTGTACAAAAGACAAGATGAAGAAATAAAAGGCATAAAGACTAGAAGAGAAGAAATAAGGTGGCCTGTATTCACAAATAATATGAGTGTGTAGAAAAGCTTAAGGTGGGTATCTTCAACTATTAGAACTAATAATTTAACAAAGCCATGGCATAAAAGATTATTAAATAAAAATCAGTTGTGTTTTTTCTATTGGCAGCAAACAAATGGTAAATAAGTTTTTTAACTTTCATTTACTATAATTGTCGAAAAATATAAAATACTTATGAATACATTTAACAAAATATATGCAACATGTGTGCTGAAAACTACAAATATTTTTGGTAGAAATTAAAGAAGAGCTAAAACAAATGTACAGATGTACCATGTTTCTGAATGGGAGGAGATGGATGGAAGTACATTGGCAAAATGTCACTTCTAAACAAGTAGATCTGTGGACAATGCAATTCCAATCACAATGTCAGTAGGCTTTTTGCATAGAAATTGATGAACTAATTATAAAATATAAAATGTACAAGGATCTGGAATATCTAAAGTAATCTTACAAGTTAAAAAAAGAAGTTGTATTTAGAATGAGTGATTTCAAGACTTACTATATAGCTACAGCTATTAAGACAATATGATACAGAGCAAGTATCAACACTTAATATATATTGAAACAAAAATAGCACAGAGATAAGTGCCCACTTGTATGGTCATTTGATTCACAACACTACTCTGAACTGAGATGTGTTCTACTTGTTTTTGATTTTGAACACTTAATAGGAAAGAATGTAAAATATCTCATTGGTAATATTATTACATGTTAAATTATAACATTTTAGATAATTGGTAATCGGTAAATTTCAGCAGTTTCTTTTTACTTTTTTAATGTGGCTACTAGAAAATTCTAAATTATAGATGTGGCTTGCATTTTGTTTCTGTGGGACAGTACTGTTTTACATTTTGACAAAAGCCTGAGTTACACAGATCTTTGCATTTGTCAAAATGCGGGGAATGTTCACTTAAGATTTCTGCATTTCATCATGTAAACATTACCTCAAAAGAAAAAATTTGCAAATAATATAGAAGTATTGAACTTTAGGTAATGATATGCATATGATGTATTTAGGGTGAAGTGCAATGGTGTCTGTAACTTATTTTGAAATGTGCTTAAAAATAATGTAGATGGATAGATATCCACCAGGCCAAATACAGTAAAATTTATGGTAGAAAGGTAGTGGGTATATGCCAGTATTTAATGTAACATTCTTTATGCTTGAAATTTTCCATTGTAGAATTTTGAAAAAAGAAACCTTACAGTTAACATCATACTGGTGATATACTGAACATTTTCTTAACACCTCTGTCCTCAGTGGGGATGATTTTGTCCCTTGGGGGATATTTGGCAATGTCTGGAGACATTTGTTTGTCACCTGTGGGGAACGAGAAGACACAATTAGACTCTAGTGGGTGAGAAGCCTCGATATTGCTACTCAAGCTATAATGCTCAGGACAGCCCATAACAAAGAATTATTGTGACCCAAATTTTAATAGTGCTAAGGTTGAGGAGCCCTACTATAAAATAAGATCACAGACAAGCAAAGGGTGCCTGCTTTTGCTATTTCCATTCAACATATATAGGAGATCTTAGCTAGTATAGTAAGTTCAGAAAAGGTAAAGGCAAAGAGTTTCAAAAGAGGAGGTAACACTGTTTGATTTGCAGACATTTGACCACATGCTTATGGCAAGAAAATCCAAAGGCATCTATTGTTAACATTGCTTAGAATTTATAAGTACATTTAGCAAGGTTACGGGATCAAGGTAAATCACAAACACTAATTGTGTTCTACATATTGGCCAAAGATAACTGGAAAATAAAATGATAAAAGCAATACCATTTATAATATCTTAAGAAATATAAAGAATATAAAGAAATATAAAATATAAAATAAAATATAATATCTTAAGAAATAAAAAAAGAAATATTAAAAAATATAAAAGTGAATTTAATGGAACATGCAGGCCCTACTTAGTGAAAACCACAAACACTGCCAAGAGAAACTAAAGAATTAAATATAGGGAGAGAGAGTCTACATTCACGGATTGAAAGACTCAACATTTTAAAGATGTGAATTATCTCCAGATAGGCCTGTTGATGCAAATAAATCCCAACCAAAATCCCACCACTTTTTTCCTGTAGAAATTGAGAAAATTTGATGGAAATTCAAAGGATTTAGAATAATCACAGTCTTGAGAAAGAACAATAAAGTTGGAGGACTTATATGTTTCAAGAATTATTACAAAGTTACAGTAATCAGTACCTTATAGTATTGGCTTAAGGATAAACAGAAAGATCATAGCCTAGCAATCCAGTGGGGAATGGAAAGACTTTTTAAAACAGTGCTATAACAAGTGGGGAAAAAATGAACTTTGACCTGTATTTCACAAAATATAAAATATTAATTCAAGTTGGATCCAAGACCTAAATGTGAAGGCTAAAGGTCTAAGTCTTCTAGAAGAAAACTTCGGAGCATCTCTTCATGATGTGCTAAGCAAAGAATTCTCAGGCAATATTGCAGAACATTTTCTCAATTCCAAAGATTTCTTCAAAATATTATCTGTTTGACAACAAACATAAAAGTAAATGAGAGAGAATTGGAGTTTGGACACTGCTTGGGTTCCCCTTAGATGTTTGTCTTCCCCACAGTAAAATATATTTTCTCTAAATATCTTCAGACAGAAGTTGGGTAGGGGCTAGGAGGTAGGGGAATGGACAGAGTATGTTATTGACAAGTTTTACCTGAGATGCATTGACTAGGAAGCATATGTGCATTCTTAGAATTTCTTTATGAACTTGTAGGTAACAAGAATTCATTCTGAGTGTTTGCTCTATGATCGTATCACATTTTTTCTCACTCTGAAGATGTGGGCCAGGAATGGAGCATAGCTGGTATTCATAGATGACAGATACTTCTCTGTCTTCAGTGATCCTCTCTCACTCTGTCGCCTCTCCCACACTGCCCCAGAGCTCCAACCCAATGTCCTAACAATCTGGACATGCAAGCATCAAAAATCAATGAAACATACCTATTAATAATAATCAGTGAATTTACCTATCTAATAATCTATTGCCAAATAGGGTGATGGATGAAACATACCTATTAATAATAATCAGTGAATTTACCTATCTAATAATCTATTGCCAAATAGGGTGATGGAAGTTACTTTCTAGTTTCACAAGTCTTTCAGTGCTTCAACAAGTTATCTTAAATAATCAGCTAGGTTTAAACAGCAGATGTTTTGGGAAGAGTTACAAAGTGACCTAGTTCTAACAAGTGATCCAGTTATTCTCTTCTCACTTATATCATCAGTTATATAACCTCTAACCCTACTCTTGATTCAGCAATGCAGTAGTTCAAGAAGTATGGATACATATTATCTTATATGTATATATGCCCAAAATGTACCTAATGTAAAAATTTAACATCCTCCAGTTTAGCGAGTTAACATCACACAATGCCATTCTGTCCATAGCTGTAAGCAAAAGGTTCACAAACAAAACAATCTCAGGGTGCCTGTGTGGCATTCTTAGCCACCTCTACTGGAAGGAGTGTAAGAATTTACAAATTGAATGATTTCTCTTGATTACAAACAACACCAAGTAGGAGCAACTTACTCATCTTGGGACACTGTGAATATTCAGTATGCAGAGATTCTGAAGAGCTCATGAAGGAGCAAAGCAGGCCCAGGTGTTTCTCTGAGGTTGAAGTCTTCCTCAGCAATTCACACAGAGGGATCAGTCTGGGGAATTACTCCTTTTGGTCCTTCTGTATCCACCAGAGCCAGAACCATTTATGAATACATCGTGCTACCCATAAAGTTGAGGAAACGGTTTTCTGTTTCAGGAAAAAAAGGTTACAAGGTTCACAGGTTATAAGCAAAGATCTGCATCATAAGATCTGCCTTTCTTTTACTAAAAGCTATACTTCCAGCATAGCTGACATGTCCAGAAGTTAAACTAAGGTCAGATTTCCAAAAAGATGGGAAAAAGGTCATGTCAACCCTTCATTTATAGGTTCTCCACTCATGACCTGTGTTCAACCCACTTAACATACACATATACAGAGTAATATTCAAATGATCATTAGGATTTGACTTTTTCTATAGGACATCATATTCCTGTCACCTCTTGACTAATCCATTATATGTCCAGTTACTCTTAATAAAACTACAATATCTTTGTCCTGCAGACCAGAAGCATGTTTGTATCAAGTACTAGTACATAACAGGTTAACACATCAAATCAGTTCACCACAATTTCTATTGAGCTTAATAAGTGTCCCCTCTTAAACATTGCAAACTTAGCATGTGAATTTTTAAATCTTTATGCTAAAATTCATTTTACCCATGGTTGTTTTTGTTGTTTAACTTAGGTTCGAAACCTAAGTTAAAAGCAACTTTATCTGTGTAGTTCCTCTTATAAAAACTGTAGGAGTCCCTTGCCTCCATTCTGCCCTAGCCCACATCAACTCTGGGAAGCCATGGGGGTGATCACATTTGAGAGCAGACATATCACAGTCATAAAGAAACACGGGTAGACCCAGGTCCTTTGGGCTTGAACTTTTAAACGTTTAGATTCTGTCACTTTTAAAATAACCTGTCATT